CGTGAAAGTCCAACCGAGAACCAGCCAGCTGATGGATCACTCTCACTTTTCCAGGCTTTCAAGAAACTGCTCTTTCCGGATTTACTATCGAATCCCAGCTGCATAGTTGGTAGAAGTGTGTCACTAGGATAATCAAAACTCTGCCACAATGGATCAGCTCCTACATCATCATCTTTTATGACAAAATTTCCGCTGTCCAAAAGCTCTGCAGCTGAACCATTAGATGGCACCGAAATATTTGTTGACCAAAGAGAATTCTGCTTCCCATCTACAAGCTCCAGATTCCCATAGCTACTAATTGTCAAATTAGCAAAGGTATCTGAAGCTGCAATAGGATTTTCTCTGTTGGCAACCCATACAACTTTACGCGGAGATATGTTCATGTGCCATATCCCCACGTACTTGTTAACCGAACCATTAGGACTGAAGAACCCCAATTCGAAAATGCGGCTGGGGGAGACAAGGATTTGTGTCTGTGAAAATGGTTGTGACGGTGTTATTTTATAAACTTCAGCACAATTATGCTGTGACAGAAGCAAGCTAAAGAAGATTAGGAAAAACATGGTGGAACCGAAAATACTACCAATGGTTTCGTTTCCAAACCCCATTTGAACTCTAATACGTTTTCTAGAAAAAGAAAGGTGAAGAGTATCTGTAAATTTCGTTGGGAGAAAATGACTTTGCAATTTTGTTATGAGGAAAAGTCTACCATTGCTCTCAAAGTCAAAGGCAGAAAACTTTGAAACATCAGATACAGTTCGTTGTAGATGTTTGACATTTGACTGAAAACGTAGTCCACTATCTTTGCATATACAATAGTATGGGAATATGTGGGTGACTGAAAACATTCCAAACCGTTCCAATGTTACAGCTTCGGATTAGAGAAGTAAATAGCGTGCATTTGAACCATCATGTGTGTACTTACAAATGCAATAAGGCTCAAGTGTTCCTTCTGCCGCTTACAGTCTCTGGCAGCAATACCCGAAAGCTATAAACATCCCACTTTACTGAAAACAGACCTTCTATTGCATATTCAGGTGATATATAACCCCTGCAGTATGAATATAGTGATTAGATCAATAAAGCTTTTAACATGAGATAAATACCGGAACTATTATTAGGACTGAAGAATCCCAATTCGAAAACCTGGCCGGGGGAGACAAGAGTTTGTCCCTCAGATAATGGTTGTGCAGGACTTATCTCGTAATCTGCCGTGACAGAAGAAGCAAGCTGAAGAAGAATAGGAAGAACATGGAGGAATTCAAAGCATTAACACTACTTTTGTTGTGCTTTGGCCGGTCAGTGCGAAACCAAATTCAGATTATCTCACCAAAATACAAACCCACAGTTGAACAATTTAAAAAACAAGAAATAACGACACCGAGAGAATTACGAGGTTCGGCAAAATCCTGCCTACGTCCCCCGAAGAGATATTGCTCTTCACTATGAGAATAACTAGTACAAGATACACTTTCTCTCCTTTGTGTTCTCCTTTGGATGCACACACAATGCATAACTCGATTTTCTTCCATAAACTATTTGTGTCAATGGATTAGTTCGATCCAAAACTTGAGATAATGGGTGTAATCCGAAAAAATACTATTTCCTTCACTTATGGTCATGCACCAACAATTATGCCAAAATCCAAGACCAAGAAAATCTTAAGTTCACATGGCATATTCAACATCCTTTTCTATACCTAGCCTATAGAGTACAACTATTCAGAAAGTTAAACTATCAAAATTGTTGCCAACTCATAAGTATATGAGCCAAACACAACAACTTTCGGTTCTAATTTGCATCAGAATGATTAAAAATTCCCTGAAAAGCAATACAAACGAACATTGAAATACTGTTTTGGGCTAAAATTGAGTATGTGGATGATTCACATTTCAAATAAAGGTGTCCCTGTTTCAAGCATATCGGTAAACTTCAACCAATGCTGTCAAAGTCATGCACAAGACTTTGATATATATTGTTTATACCATACTTTGGGCCTCCGTATTTAGATCTCATACAAATATTCGGGGGACTTAAATGTAATTATGTAATAAAGGAAGGGGCAAATATGTAATAAGTGAGGAGCCCTTATTCTATAAAATGACTCCTCACCCTCACAATTAGGGAAGGCCAATTCCTAGGCCCTCTCACCCCCTCTCAAAGCCTCACTCTCATTACAGAGGTTCTCTCCCTCACAATCCTCTCCGAGAAATACAATATCAGTGTGGACGTAGCCCAAACATTGGGGTGAACCATGATATATCTTGTGTTATTTACATTTCTTGCAAATTCACGGTCGGATTTACGTTGTTCTAAGACCTCCGGTTTTGTGCATTAACATTTAGCTCCGTCTGTGGAAAAGGACACAAAAAGCTATGTTGGTCATTTTCCATTTTTTCATCTCACCACCGTGAGACCTCACCACACTCCATCGTGAGTCTGCAGAAACCCAACACCCACACTCAGAGACACTCCCACTCCCACTGTTTTTGGTAGCTCTTAACTCTCCAACTACCCAAAAACCCACTTTGTTTTTCCATTTTCTAGTGAGAGAAAGAAAGGAAAAAAAACCAGAAGAGAGAGACGAGCAATTCTCCGCCATTAATGCTTCTCGGCAACAAAGCGGAGCTTCTTACGAGGGAGGACGGGAAGGTCCTGACACTCAAGGACACGTGTAAGCCTCTCCTGTTTCCCTGCTACGACATGAAAAGTTCCGCCCTTCTCCCGAGCCGACGCGTCCGAGTCGGCGAGTTTCGACGTCGAAATGTGGAAAGCCTGCCGCGCCACATCAGCGACTCCAAGCGTGTTCAAGCCGTTCAGCCTAATCTTCGTGGACGGAAAGACATCGTGCTCGGCGGTGGACGGTGGGCTAGTGATCAACCAAAGCTTTTTTTACTCTCTCTCTCTCTCCGCGCGTTGTTGGGTTTGTTTTAGATCCTTTGATGGGCATTTTGGAGAAGAAATCCATGGCTAGGAGGCTTATGCTATTCCTTTTAACAGTTTCAGCTGCTACAGCTGATGAAGATATGTTGATCGGCATGAATATAAGGACAGACCTCTCAGACATGCCACACCCAACGCAAGTTGTAGCCCTCCTGAAAGCTCAGCAAATTCGACATGTTCGGTTATATGACGTTGACCGTGCCATGCTTGTTGCACTTGCAAACACAGGGATTAAAGTTATGATATCTGTCCCGAATGAGCAGACCTTGGAATTGGCCAATCTAATGCAACTGCAGCTAATTGAGGATCCCAGAATGTAGTAGCACATTACCTAGCTACAAATATCACAGCCAAAACTGTTGGCTAAGAGACCCAGTGCCATTTCTTCAGATGCTTCAGCTCCGAGGCCATGGTGGACGCGACGGAGGCAGTGGCGGACAGAAGAAAACAAGAGGAATTAATCAACGCCTTCGTCAGCTCCGCCGCGGGCGACACCACGCCTCCGTCTCCGAGATCCATCCTCAACAACCCCAATACCTCCGACGCCTCCTCCTGGATCGGTTAGTGGTCCTCATCCGCCTCCGACGCCCTGCCTGAAAGGAAATTACTCATTAGAGAAATTAAATTTTATTTTCTAATTAGCCATGAAGGGAAGTTATGAACCCCGTTCAAGCTCATCTTGCACAGCTTGCAAGTCACTCCAGAGAAGATGCACCTCCACCTGCATTTTCGCACCCTATTTTCGCTTGTCATGGCTCTACTGACCCGAGCCCGCATCCCTCTCCAGCTCTCGGCCCAGTGGGCCCTCTCCCACGGGTGCCATCTGCAATCTACAAAGTAAAAGCAGAGAACCTGAGTGCCATCTGCAATCTACAAAGTAAAAGCAAAAGTAAAGCAGAAAAGGAAAAGAGAAAAGAAGAAAAGGGGCAAAATTATAAGGTTCCTATTATTATGATTCATTTTGTCTGCCAGGTAAGAGGTTGCATTTGGTGCAATGGCAAGTGCATTCGCCCATGAGCGGCAGGTCTCGGGTTCGAGACTTGGGAGCAGCCTCTCCGTAAATGGGGGTAAGGCTAGCCGACATTCACCTCTCCCAGAACCTGCGTAAAGCGGGAGCCTTGTGCACTGGGTACGACCTTTTTATTTTGTCTGCCAGGTGAAGAGATAGAGAGTGCGACGGAAAGCAGAAAGCAAAAGTAAGGAATAAACACCCCACCAGAATGATGTGAATCACTTTTCTTATTTTTGAATGTATTTTTCTTATCTTTCGGAGACATCTGTATAAACCCCATCAGAGGGTATAATAATAAAATTAAATTAAAAATAAAAAGCAAAGCCCAAAATAAATGGGCTGGAATGATGTGTTGAGGACGAAGGCCCATAAGTCCAAAATAGCACCAACCATGTGATCAAAAGTACGCCCAGTACTCCACAATTATTCGGCAATATGCCGCTATTACCACCAACCAGGTGATTAAAAGTACGCCCAGTACTCCACAATTATTTGGCAACCTGCCGCTATTACCACCAACCAGGTGATCAAAAGTACGCCCAGTACTCCAAAATTATTCGGCAACCTGCCGCTATTCCTACCAACCAGGTGATCAAAACTACATCCAGTACTCCCAAATTATACATGAGCATTACTTATGTCAATCATACATAAACATTCATAAGCATCATTCATGTCAACATTCATGAGCATCACTCATGTCAACATCCATGAGCATCACTCATATCAATCAACATAAACATTCATGAGCATCACTCATGTCAATCAGCTTCAAAGCTTCATTTACAAAAGCTCTAGCTTCAAAAGCTTCATTTACAGAGCTCTAGCTTCAAAAGCTTTATTTACAAAAGCTCCAAAAGCTCTAGCTTCAAAAGCTTCATTTACAAAAGCTCTAGCTTCAAAAGCTTCATTTACTGTAACTCATCACCCATTTCTATTTAAAAACTTGTTTTTTTTATATTAAATGGTGAACCGTGGGGCCCACCCCGGAATGTTGTTCCCCAAGTTCTCTATTTTTCCCTCTCAGTTTTCATTCCTCTTATTCTCTCCGTTCCTTTTCTTTCCCCTTCTCTCCGGTGCCGAGAAAGAACCCAGCCACCACCAGTGCCATTTTCTTCACAATTCAACCCCAAATCTTGATATTCTAAACCTATGGGACTCGGGGAACAAGATTATGGTCTTGCATGCATCATCGGGGCATTGTGAAGTGAATCACCATTGATGCCGTGAGCTTTGAAGCTCTCAAATTCGAACCCAGGTGATACTTGTTTTCTTTCTTCAAATTTCTGGGGTTAATCATGTTATTTGTGTTGGTTTTAAGGTCAAAATCGAGGGTTTTGACCTTACCTTTTCTCTATGCCAAAAACCCGGTTCCGACGACGAACTCCGGCGAGTTCGTAGGTGTGTGTGTGTGTGTATGCGAACTGTGGGTGTGTGTGAGCATGCTGTGCATGCTGTGCATACTGTGCGTGTATGTATGTGTATGTGCAAGTGTGTGTGTGTGCGTGAACCGTGTGTGTGTGTGCGTGTGAACCGTGTGTGTGTGTGTGTGTGTGATTATATATATATATATGCATGATGCTGTGCGTGTGTGTGATTATATATATATATGCATGCTGTGTGTGTGTTTATATATGTATATATATATATATGCATGCTGTGCATGCGTGTGTGTTTATATGTATGTATGTGTATATATATATATATATGCATGTTGTCTGTGTGTGTGTGTTTATATATATATATATATGCATGCTGTCTGTGTGTGTGTTTGGCATGTTGGTGTCCGTGCAAAGTGTGTGTGTGTGTAAGTAATTGTGATGGTGTATGGTGCACGTGTGTGTTGTGTATGTTTGTGTACTGTATGAAGTGTACAGTGTGTGTTGTGTATGTATGTGTGTGAATGTATGGTGTGTGCGCCGTGTGTGTATAAGTATGGGTTTAGGTGTGTGTTGTGTATGTTTGTGTACTGTATGAAGTGTACAGTGTGTGTTGTGTATGTATGTGTGTGAATGTATGGTGTGTGCGCCGTGTGTGTATAAGTATGGGTTTACCCATACTTATACACACACGGCGCACACACCATACATTCACACACATACATACACAACACACATTGTACACTTCATACAGTTAAGCCCAAAACTCCCTCTTGTTCCTAACCTACCCAAACCCAAAACCCATTTCTATTTCCTAAAATTCTATCTTTTGGGTAGTTTATTAAATTGTACATTTTCGTGCTTAGGTGAAGTTGCTAGTGGAGACTTCCTTAATCTTTTTCCACACAATTCTGCTGCTTCGGAGTATCTGTGAGTGGACCACCTTCGAAAATTGCATGTTTTATTGATAGAATTGCATAATTTAATAGCATGCCTTGCAGAATTATTGATTTGATGAATACTTTACAGGAAGCATGATGATTTGATTATACGTGATTTATATATATATGTTTTGAATTATTTCCATTATATCGTATTTTCTATAGAACCCTCATTCTAGTAGACTATCTGATCGATGACGATAGGATGCTAAGAATGTGTTTCAAATGACTTTCGAACACCTCTTTGTAATATAGAGGATCGATGAATTTATGCTACGAAGTTGTATTTTAGAGATGAATTATGTTTTGTGCGTACCTAGTGAACACTATGCCGCCTGGGGCGAGGATCTGGTGTTGGCATTGAGGCCGGGAGAAATAATCCCTAACGAAAGGCTGAGGGACACGGAGACAGGCATTGGGCCAGGAGGGAGATATCTCTGGCTACGGGCACAGAGACTGAGGTGCAGGCATTGGGCCGGGAGTATTGTTATTCAGTGCACTCACTAGCAGCACAACTTGTGTTATGCTTCCTGATACGATTTCTGATATGATTTCTGATATGATTTTCTGAGATTGATTTGCAGATGGATATATGAATTGTTTTTATGGCATGCTAGAGTTTTCTGAAAAGCTTATCACTTATTATTCTAGTAGTTTTCATAATTAAACTGCGGGGGTTAGTATGTTCATAACTGTTTTCATACTACGTATGTATATAAACTTGGTCCACTCACCCTTGTTTTGCGCCCCCATTCAGGTCTTAGAAACGAGGCATAGAATCCCGGCATTAAGGTACTTCCGCAGCGGCATCTTCGAGTCCTCTCGGGGTAGGACCCACTCCTTTGTTCATTCAATCTTATCTTAATTCTTGTTAGTGACTAGGTTTAGCTGTATGCTATGAACACGTTCCTAAATTGTTAATTCATTGTTTTTTTTTAATTCATAACCCGTATTTATTTCTTATTCCTAGCTTTTGTATCAATTAATGGCTTTCGTCACCCTCGGGTGTCGGGCAGCACGTGCCTATCCTGGTATTCAGGTAATATCAGGGTTGGGGCGTGTCATTTACATAGCTCTAGCTTCAAAAGCTTCATTTACAAAAGCTCTAACTTCAAAAGCTTCATTTACAGAGCTCCAGCTTCAAAACTTCACTTGCAAAGCTTCACCTACAAAGCTTCAGTGCAAGGTATACAAATACCGCCTCCGAACAACCGCCACTTCGGCCTATACATGAATTCAATTTGAAGTCTCCAGCCAACATACTTTATTGACCGAAGACTTGGGGGACTACACTATACACCATATATTGGGCCTCAACTGGGCCTCATGAAAAATACTTAGGGGACTCTAGCCCATTATTTATATATTGAGGAGCGAACCCTTATTCTATAAAAGGGACTCCCTCACCACCATTAGAGAGCATCAACCCTAGCCCATTATTCATGTATTGATAAGCGAGCCCTTATTCTATAAAAGGTACTCCCTCACCACCATTAGAGAGCATCAACTCTAGCCCATTATTCATGTATTAAGGAACGAACCCTTATTCTATAAAAGGGACTCCCTCTGTCACGCCCCGATCCCAACATACGTCCAAAATCGACACATGACATCACCAATACCCGTACATCTAACATACCCTGCCTCTGGGTTATGTACAAAGCATAAATCAAGATTCAAATTTCATAGCATTTTTCGTACAATTTATGGCTGTATCTAACCTCTTCGTTAGACTGCCTACGTACCCTCAACAGGGATCAAGCCATTCGTAGTTCAACGTTCGTCAAACTTTAATCTTTTTGTAAAATACTTATAGTGTGAAAAAACATAGGGTACCACACTACGCATCAACCATAAGCCATACACAATTATCATCTTGTCATGCACGCAAGTATGCTATGCCCACACAGATATTTTCCACTTCATCCTTCATATAAATCACTACATTTCACATGATTCTCCATTTCATAATATGCAACATCTCAAAAAACAATCAACGGATCACCATGCTATTCTCTAGCCAAAATAGTCAACGAGTCTAATTATAATGACAAAAATCACAACCAACATTATTCCACAATCACATCAATCAACAACACATCATATACCAAAATGCAGGGTTAGAGCGACATAGTTTGGCCGAAGCCTACATCTCTGAAGTTGATATCAATCCAAGGAACTAACAAGTCAATGATACGATTCCGGACCATCACTCAACGAAATCCAAACCAGGATAGGATTCTGGACCATCACTCAACGGAATCGCAGAGTAGAAGGGATTCCGGACCATCACTCAACAGAATCCAAACAGAACTTAGTTCCGAACCACTCAACAGAATCGAACGGAAGTCCAAGAAGCATAACTACTGCTCGAAGGAACAAAACAGGATTCAAGTTACTCAATTCACAAAGACTCAACAAAACGAACTAATGTCGAGCAACAAATCCCCATCACAATGGGTTATCGGTCCATTACTAGATCTCACATCTTCCAAGCAATTCAATATGCATTTCAATCACATGACACAACCATTTCTAATACACAAGTCAAATCACATTTCACTACATCATACCAATCACTATGCTTCCAACATTATATCTCTATCCATAGCTTGTAACATATCAGGGAATCATGAAGCACAATATTAATATTTAATTATGTTAATCAATCAGTGAGATAACACATCATTTCACGAGTTTAATTAAAGACCTCTACATAATTCCCTACTTGGGTTATGAATAATAACATGGTAATTCTAATTTGTATGCATGATAGGATTTTTAGTACTCATGCGAACGGGCTTAAATCTCCTATTTTACTTGCAAGAATCACAAGGTTATTGTAGTATAAATGGATCTCGCAAGGTCGTATCCACAGGGATTATTAAATAATTCGAAACTAATCAGATTCCATTTAATTATTGTAAAGTAGAAATTGGGGTGATTGATTTTATAACCTAATTAAAATAAAAACGAATTTAACTATTAATGATAAGACAATCTGCAATATTAAAACTAGAGAGAAAAGAAAACAGTTTTGAGAGAAATCAAATTAAGAAAGCACTAGGGTTCCACCATCACCTAGCAATCCTATGAATTTTTACCAATTACTTATGATCTACACATGCCACTTTGAAGGTTAGATTTTCCTAATTCATATTCTACTTGGAACCTCCAACATAGAACGTATATCTAACATGCAACCCGTCCGGACGTTCGGATCAAATCTAAACATGAAAGACTCATTATGCTTTATGAAAATCCCTTGAAAAACCATGCAATCCTTAAGACATGATATTCATCTTAAGAGAAATTACAATTATTAATCACAAGAAGCCAGCGTCAATTTCAGGGAACCTTCCGACCAAAATTGCATTAAATTACTTTTCTAAAGATCCTAATGGTGATCAGGCATTACGACAATTAGATAGTTTTTATCCCGGTGATTAACAATTCAAAGTCCGCATGCAATCAATCATAAGCAATTAAATAAAAATCACATATTCATGCTAAGGCTCAAGGCTTCGCCCTAGCAAAAGAAATTAGTTTCGCATATTCATAATTGAAATCATAGAAAATATTCTTAAGAAAAGGATTGAAAACACTTTCAAGTAGAAAATCTTCAAAACCCTAGCACTTCTCTCTGTCTCCAATATTGCATAAAATAAAGCGTACTCTAAAACCGTAGACGGCTAAGCAATATATTTGCTCAGCCACCACACAAACCCTAACAAACTAAAATTAATAAAAACCCTAAATAAAAATAGTAAAATTCGTCTAAAATCTGAACAGCCACGTTTTGGCCCATAAGCTGCTCCAAAACTGGCCCAATATAGCTGGATTTGATGTTTGGAATATTCTGAACACTTTTCCAGAAGGCCACGAACCCATCCGAGGTCATCTTGGGCTCCAAAAACGTCATTTAAGCCCAAAAACGTCATTTTCCAGCACTGCGCACTGCTTCTTTATTTCATCGCCAGAAAATAACCGCTTGGTGGAAAAATCCCAAATTTTGATACGATCAAGCTAAGTGACTCACGAACGTCCTCCAACTGGAATTACTCCAAAATTCGTCCATTTGGTCCTGTTTTGCTCCAGAGGAAGTCGAAAGTCCTATATTGAAAATACAATTCAAAGTATCAAAATTCTTCCAATATATTAACCAAAATATACTAAGATTAGGGTAAAATATATAATATAAAATCTACTCATCAATGCACAAGATCCATTGTGCGTAATTCTCATTCACTCGAATCTAGGATTCTAAGATAACCTTATGGAAATGAGCAAAAGCAAGGATTCCGGACCACTCAACGGAATCCAACAACACTGGGTTCCGAACCACTCAACGGAACCAAATTACAAGTATGAGATAGTCAATAAAAAGAAAGACCATTGATCATAGTTTATAACCTCAAATATAAGTTCGTAAATATGAAAACATAATCAAGTCTCTAACAACTCCGAAGGAGTCACCCAGACATCCAACGACTTATCCCATTCAAACCATCAAGATTCTCAAAAACCATCATTCATATGTACATTCAAACTAGGGCTAGAGGGATGCAGTTCAACTGAAGCCCACATAAGTAACCAAACAGGAAGTGCCCCCCCAAAGCAGATTAACCAAGTAGAGCCACCCTTGAGAAAGTAACCAAGTAGGCAGTGACCCCCAATGCGGATTAACCAAGCATGATCACTCCTAAGCATACATGGCCATAAGGATTACCTAACGCGGGTTAACTAAGCGCGATCCATATATAGTATGGTCCCCCAATGCGGATTAACCAAGCAGGACCACTAATGACCCCTAATGCGGATTAACCAAGCAGGGTCAAAATAATCAGGTAAGTAGTGATCACCCAATGTGGATATACCAAGCATGATCACTCCTATAATGCGTATGGTCCCCCAATGCAGATATATCAAACAGGACCATCAATGTACAACTACTACATGGTGTAGTAAACTCAACACCCCAACTTATCCACATCTCAACCCCTATGAGTTACAACGTAGTCACCTACACCATCAACTTCTCGAGGTCACCACTAATATGTCACCCAAGCATATAAGTGCTACAACATACCTCTAATAGGATTCTAGGATCACATTGTCATGAAAATAATCATACACCTCATACATATCTAACCACATTTCATAAACGTTTCCAAGCTATAGTCGATTCACAATTACTAAACATAGATTGATGCTAAAAATAAAAATAACAATTCAATAGAAAGCACATTTAATAAACAAGTATAACTCAATATGGTGCCACTAATACATATATCGAGACACACACAAGTATAACTCAATATGGTGCCACTAATACATATATCGAGACACACATCAACTGGGAACGACATGTCATCGTGATGAGCCAACTAAGCTCCATCAAGCCTTAACAACTCTAGAGATAAGCGACACTCTAGAGTAGAGCACGATGATTAGAACATTAACCGTCGATAAGGTAGGTCCATTAAGGTCAACAACCTAAGGTTATTCAATCCGGAAGATCCGTACCTCGGATTTCCAATTTATAAGTTCTCAAAGGTCCAACAACTGATAACTAGGGTGTTCACAAAATTGTACGACGAGCCAACTATCGGATTGTCATCAATCATACAAACAAGTGGCGGTCCAATTTGATCACCACACCAAACAATTGAATTTCGGGAAACCAAGCTAGACATGGGTTCACAGAGTCACTAGAAGGTATTTAGTACTTAAACAACACTCGAAGACTGTCCCACGCACCGCCACACGTGGTGGTAGCCAAGGTGGAGGGTTTAGAAAACCCAAATTTTCAATATTAATTAAATGAGTTCAAAATTACGTGGTAGCTAGAGCTCAACAAGGGAAATACTTTTCACAACTAGCCCAACGACAAATTCAAGCCGTATGCCATTCAATTTCACCGGGGAAAACCGGATTTCTAGGGTTCTAAACACCCAACACTAAAACGACTACAAAAACACAAACCAAGCATACCAACTTGAAGATTATGAAGAGTAGGTAAAGTTTCATACCTCACTCGAAGGAAATGATTGCCGGATTCATCGGAAAAATGATAAAACCGCCGAAAACCCACGGAACTTTCCTGCCTCGAACTGGAAAAATGGATAAGAAAATGGGAAATCTAAAAATACAGAGATGTAGGGCTCGCCAAGAGCTTTCCATGGACACCAAGATCACCCAAAACAGAGCTTGGATGAAGGAGATACAAGCGGGTCAAGTTTGTGGGTCAAAAGGGTCGAAAATGCCCAAAAACGGGTCAAAACCAGACCCTCCTTCCTCTTTTTTTTTTCCTGTCCGTTCCCTTTTATTTTCCATTTCTCCCTCGTCCCTCTCCCACTATGTGGGAGTTTTAAAATAAATTAAAATATATAGTTTAGTAACACAACTTTAAATATCCGTAACTATACCGTTAAAACTCGAACTCGCAAGCGGCTTTCGCCTATACGTTCGTGATCTCGAAATCTATTCAACGATATAAATTGTGACCTCGAAAGGTCTACGGATTAATCTCCAAACTTCAAACTTCGTACTTCAAACAAATTAAAATAAATTCTCGGAAAATAATATAAAATCTCAATAATACAAATACGTAGATTATAACAGTGAAATCCAGGAATGGGATTTCACACCTTCACCTTCAACGCCACAAGCCGAGCCAACCAAGGCAACATAAGCCACGAGCCGAGCAGCCTCGCAGTATGTGCTACCTCTAGTTGAGCATCATTTCAGATTGAGCACCGCCTCATATCGAGCATCAGTTCAAGACAACATCTAATTACTTCGGCCCACACATGGACTGAATTTCAAGTCTCCAGCCAAAAGACTCTCTTGACTGAAGACTTGGGGGACTACTATTTATACCATACTTAGAGCTTCCGTATTTAAATCTCGTACAAATACTCGGGGGACTTAAATGTAATTAAGTAATAAAGGAAGAGGCAAATATGTAATAAGTGAGGAGCCCTTATTCTATAAAAGGACTCATCACCCTCACAATTAGAAAATGTCAATTCCTAGGCCCTCTCACCCCCTCTCAAAGTCTCACTCTCATTACAGAGGTTCTCTCCCTCACAGTCCTCTCAGAGAAATACAATATCAGTGTGGACGTAGCCCAAACATTGGGGTGAACCACGATACATCTTGTGTTATTTACATTTCTTGCAGATTCACGGTTGGATTTACGTTGTTCCAAGACCTCCGATTTTGTGCATCAACATATATTTTGGCTCCTTCTGTACATATCTAACGGTTCATTGCTACCATTAGTTTCTCGCCTCACGTGGCGAACTGAGAGCAGTTGGATCTCCTGCAGACTGAAAATATCATATGCATATATATAGTCTTTTTTTTTGGTAAATATGATTGTTAGGGTTCCTAATTCATGAATGATGAACGGGACAAGATATATTGTGTAGATCATTACCAGTGAGACAATGTGTTTGTACTGCTACTTAAAGCCTTAAAGGTTGTTTTCTGAGAATTAAAGTGCTTTTATTTGTGGGTATTTTTTTTCTTAGCTCCAAATTTTACATCTTGAAAATTTTATTTTACTAGCCAGAGATAAGCATCCACCTAGATCAAAATTGTTACAAAAACAAGTTTAAGGCGATCTGCACTGCAGGCAGTGTCATCACTTTGTTTGTCCATCCATATCATGCTATGTTAGATCCCACATCGCCCAGGGGAGTGGATCATCTATGCCTTATATGTATATGCCCACCTCCTAGAGAAATGTTCGACTCCACTTGTCCGCATTGGCTTCGGATTCCTTAGGAACTTCGAAGTAAAGTGAGATCGCAGCGAGAGCAATCTCAGGATGGGTGACCCATTTGGAAGTTCTCGTGTGAGTTCCCAGAAACAAAACCATGAGGGTGTGGTCGAAGCCCAAAGCGGACAATATCGTGCTACGACGGAGGCGGAGCTCGGGATGTCGTGGACCCTGGGTTGGGATGTGAAAATTTGGTATCAGAGCCAATCCCTGACCGGAAATGTGCTGACAAGGACGTCGGGCCTCTAAGGAGGGTGGATTGTTAGATCCCACATTGCCAGGAGAGTGGATCCTCTATGCCTTATATGTACATGCCCACCTCCTATAGCATGAGGCCTTTTGGGAGCTCACTAGCTTTGAATTCCTTAGGAACTCTGAAGTTAAGTGAGATCGCAGCGAGAGCAATCCTAGGATGGGTGACCCGTTGGGAAGTTCTCTTGTGAGTTCCTAGAAACAAAATCGTGAGGGCATGGTGGCCCAAAGCGAACAATATCGTGTTACGGCGGAGGCAGAGCCCAAGATGTGGTGGACCCCAGGCGGGGATGTGGACTGGATCGAAAAGGAAATAGACCGTCAGAAGATAAAAAGACACAACGAAAATTTGCAGATTCGGTGTCCAGGCTCCGATTTGGGCCTGTGATACCTTTCGGAAAGGAAACGACGCTACAAGTCCAACTCATTTCTTTGCTATGAAGTACAATGGCTTTTGGTCATCCGGGGTTGTTTCAGCCTCCAAAACGACGTTTAACGTTTCGTATTAAAAATCAGACCTTGTTTCTCCATCCTATTAGTGTTTAGTTAATGTTGTTTTAATTTCTAGAAGTCATTTGAGTTGCTCCAAACGTTTGTAAACTTCATTTAAGTCATCTGGATGTAATCATTTGGGCATTCACGAATTAATCAAACACAACCTTTCGGGATTTCTCTCAATTTTTTGGTGAATTCAAGACTTTGTTCTACAAAGGATTACGTTGGTAACCCATTCATCACTTTGTGCTGCGTCAAATAAGATTCAGAAGAAAGAATTCATTAAACAAAATGTTTCGATTATCTGCCACGTCTACCATTGAAATTGTGAAATTTTTTGAGAATAATAAACCATCGCCGTGTACTAAATAGCAGATTTGCTTTCTACAAGCTGCAGAACTTTTACAGGTGCAATAACCCTACTTGTATTTACACATGCAATCACCAAAATCCACTGCATTGTGATGTAACAACGTTCTATTGCTTACCGACCTTCGATCACGGTTATGGTATCTTCATTTGCAGAGAAAATATTGTCATATTTGGGTTGAGGATTAGAGACAGAGATTCGGAAATAAGAAAATATAGGCTGCTTAGGTAGTGGAAGATCCGTCTCACTACTTAGTGTGAAAACTACGTCCGGCATGGTTGGTCTATCTTCAGACTTGTCCTGCACGCAAAGGAGTCCGATGTGCATGCATCTCATTACTTCTAAGGACGAATATGAATCCACCAATACTTCATCTAGCAAGTCCAGTCCCCTGCCTTCATTCCATAAGTGCCAAACCTGACAAAAGTCATATTGTGAATGTTGCCTACAATTGTTAGAATCTGCTATATTTAGCATCTTAAAAACACAAATCCAAATGAAGATTTTGATTGATTAGCTTACATGAGCTAAAAATCCATGCTGTTCCTCGTTGTAATAGAAGCTAGTATTCTTTTTGCCCGCGATAATCTCCAATAACAAGACGCCAAAGCTATAGACATCAGATTTTTCAGAAAATATCCCACCCATGGCATACTCTGGAGACATATAACCACTGCACAAGCAATTCATTTGTATTAATAACTGGAAAAAAATGTCTTCTCTGTTTCTGGTCTGAATAAAAGTGCCAATAATAGGAAAAGAATGCGCTTACCGTGTTCCCACAACCTTGTGAGTATTTGCTAGACTCTGTGTCCCTTCAAAGATTCGTGCCAATCCAAAATCTGAAATTTTTGGGTTCATATTCTCATCCAAGAGAATGTTACTAACCTTCAAATCTCTATGGATTACCTTCAAACGGGAATCGTGGTGGAGATAAAGAAGTCCTCTAGCAACTCCCTGAATAATATTGAAGCGTCTAGCCCAATCAAGCTGTGCTCTGCGCGTTCGATCTAATCGATAAAATCCATAAAAAATGTGACCAATAATAGTAACAAAATCGTAAGAATCGGGGGATTACAAAGAGCTAAGGGATTTCCAATTGTGGTAACAAAAGAACAATATGTAACAAAGAGAAATTTCATCGAAACATGGAAGGTGGCAGTGAAACTAACCGAATAGAAGAGTATCCAAGCTTCTGTTCGGCATGAACTCATAAATCAGTAACTTTTCATCGTCTTTGACGCAGCAGCCCATGATCCTAACAAGATTTTTGTGTTGGAGTTTGGAGATCAGCAGCATCTCATTCTTGAACTCCTCTATGCCTTGCCCCGAGCTACTAGATAGTCGTTTTACTGCTATTTCCTTTCCTTCTTGTAGCTTACCCTACATATTAAACATTCGATTTATGTCTGTGTCATGTAGTTTTAGGCTTCTAGCCGGTGTTGAAAACACTATATTTTCCTTTTGGAATTGAAATAAATAAATATATAGTCACCTTGTAAACAGGGCCGAAACCTCCTTCCCCGAGTTTGTTCATGGTGCTGAAATTGTTTGTGGCATTTAATATGCTGTCAAAATCGTAGATGAATAGCTCTGATGGATCATGTTTTCTTATGTATTCTTGAAGATTATCCCTTGAATTATCACTTGTATGATTCAACTGCATTAACTTTGTTTTTTCTTTCGTGTTCCCTGTTTCGAAAATATAACAATCACAACTTCTTCATCACAACAAGATTATCAAGTAATGGATATCAATCAGTAAATATGTTCTTGTGAAGTTATGCATGGAAGTTATAAAATAATTTGAATAATGCATCAGCTGCTATCACTCTATGTTATTCTCTTACCTGTTTTTTTACCGCGCAGTCTCTGAACGCCGAAAGCTATGGCACTCAAATACTGATAAAACCAACAGCAGTGACGCTAGCAATTAGCTTTACAGGCTTTCCTTCATCTGAAAAAATGAATTTATGAATTGCAATGAGCAAAGAATGAGACAGAAAATAAAAGATAAAGGTCGTACCCAGTGCACAAGGCTCCCGCTTTACGCAGGGTTTGGGAGAGGTGAATGTCGGCTAGCCTTACCCCCATTTATGGAGAGGCTGCTCCCAAGTCTCGAACCCGAGACCTACCGCTCATGGGCAAAGGCACTTGCCATCGCACTAAGTGCGACCTCTCAGAAAATAAAAGATACTTCTAATAATTCTGCAGGAAATAATTCTCATTTGTTTACCTAATTCTCCGAGTGCTAGGCGAATATAAAGATCGTTCCCTCCAAATGCAAACTCTTGTATATCAATAAGGTCACTGGACCAGACCAAACACCCTATATTATTAACTTGCGCATAAGCCTGACAAGAACAATTATTTAGGCATCGTATCTTGCACTCGTCAGCCTCCAGATTTTCGATAAGCTCATGAAAATCTGGTAGCTTTAATCCCACCATCTTCCGGAACCCATCTTCTTTTCCACCTGAAGAAAATGACCTGCTTGTGTTACTCTGATCGCAAAACAATTCGGTGTGCCTCACACACCCTCCAGTCCTGTTTCCGTTGCTCCATTCCTCATTTGATTTTGGTACAAACCCTTTCAAACACTCGCAATTTGGATTTGGAGATTCAGAACCTTTGCAGACACCATAAACTCCACATGTTCCATAAATGTCACATGAATTCACCGGTGCCACCCAGGGAAGCCACCAGTTGCTGCCATTGTCCGAAAGCTTAAAATAACTCAGTACTCCGTCTGAAGAGATGCCAAGATATGAAAGCGTATTGTTAAAAACCCTGTAAGAAAAAGATTTTGTTCCCTGGTTCACATCATCATTTAGAGTGAATCCACTTTGATATTGATTATTCATATCTGGTGCCCCGATGAACCTTGATTTATCCCATGCCCCACTTCTCCAGTAGGGTTTCGATTCATTAATCCAAATGAACACTTGTGATGGAACGTCTGGTGAAAGTCCAACCAAGAACAAGCCAGCTGATGGATCACTCTCACTTTTCCAGGCTTTCATTAAACTGCGCTTCCCAGATTTACTATCGAATCCCAGCACCATGCTTGGTAGAAGTGTGTCACTAGGATAATCAAAACTCTGCCATAATGGAACAGCTCCGACATCATCATGTTTTACGACAAGATTTCCACTGTCCAAAAGCCCTGCAGCTGAACCATTAAATGGCATTGAAATATTCGTTGACCAAAGAGAATTCTGCTTCCCATCTACAAGCTCCAGATTCCCATTGCTGCTAATTGTCAAATTAGCCAAGGTATCTGAAGCTGCAATAGGATTTTCTCTGTTGGCAACCCATACAACTTTATGCGGAGATATGTTTGTGTGCCATATCCCCACGTACTTGTTAACCGAACCATTAGGACTGAAGAACCCCAATTCGAAAATGCGGCTGGGGGAGACAAGGGTTTGTGTCTGTGAAAATGGTTGTGACGGTGTTATTTCATAAACTTCAGCACAATGATGCTGTGACAGAAGCAAGCTGAAGAAGATTAGGAAGAACATGGTGGAACCGAAAATACTACCAATGGTTTCGGTTCTAAACCCCATCTGAATTCTAATATGTTTTCTTATAAAAAGAAATGTGAAGCGTATCTGTAAATTTCCTTGTGAGGAAATGACTTTTCAATTTTGTTACAAGGAAAAGTCTACCATTGCTCTCAAATCATAGGCAGAAAACTTTGAAATATCAGATATTTGTTTCTTAGATATTTGACATTTGAATGAAAAAAGTAGTCCAATATCTTTGTATGAGAATACGTGGGCGACTGAAAGCCTTGTGATCAATGTGAAAGCAGACACATCTCAATCAAAACCAATGGGGACCGAGATAGTGATTCTAGAGGTACCTAAATCAGTTATAAGTAGATATTTTAAAGGGATACAATAATTGTTGTGGAAGTCATCAACATATTACAAAAATCAAAACTGCCGTGTCTTTAGAATTCTTATACGATTATTTACTTTTTTCAATGCTATTGTTAAACAAAAAGTAGATGGAATATCAAGTAAACATGTAGAAATAGAAAGATTATATGTCACCTCCCGTCTAGCATTGTAATCGTAACAAAGTTTGATGATATCAAATCGTGGCCATCTGTAATAAATTTTGTATCCACATATCTCAGAATTGAAGTAAATATAGGTTGTACTGGCACTAGAAGACTTGTAGTTTCACTCTCCAGCATTAGCACCACAGCCGCCATGGTTGGTCTACTAGCTGCAGAGTCTTGCACACACGATACCCCGACTTGTATGCACCTCAATAGTTTAGTTTGATAATCGGAACAAGTTTCTGTGATGGAAGGATTGATGAGATCTGCTGTTCTATTCTCATTCCAGAGATGCCATTGTTGTGCGGAAGCGTCAAATATGAAACCAATAAGCAACAACGGTAAAATATGATAAGACAAATAATCCAAATGACACAAGGATTTATATTGGTTCGGCGCAAGCCTACGTCCAGTTCCGAGACGGCGAGGAAATTCCACTAATATCAAAATGGAGATTACAAATAGAGTTTTAACTCTCAAACCCAATATCCCACATACACTCAATAGCTCTTACTCTCACAAAGAAACAAATGGAGAAGAAGAAACACATATCAAAATCCTTCTCTCCCAAAAGCTACACAACATGTAGCAGCAACATCTTTGATTGAGTGATTTCTAACAAAATGGGATTATTACAAATGGTGGGAAGGAGCAGCTCATATTCAAATGGGAGAGCCGAATGCTCTCCTTGGTTTCTCTCATCTGCCGCTCCCCCTTCTTTTCTTCTCTCGGCTTCTCCTCAAACATATAGCAGCTGCTGCTGCCTTAGAAAATACCAAAAGAAAAGCTCTTTTGTCAAGTTGCAAAGGAATGAGCCGAATAAACCCAATTCCATTTGCCTATAAAAAAATCCAAAGTAAAGGAATAATCATTCCTTTACAAACATCATCATGACCTTCCTTTTTCTTTTCAACAAACATCATCATTGTGTTTTTACTCATGATGATGTCCACCAAACTTTTCTTTGTTTAATAGCCGAAATGAGAGTTGGCTTGTTGTCCACCACTAATTTGGCCACTATCCAACAGCCATGCCTGAAAACGTTCCAAAATACCTTTCCAATGTTACAGCTACGGATTAGAGAAGTACAAATAGCGTGCACTTAGCATTTGCAATATCATGTGTACTGTGTGCTTACAGATCCATTAAGCCTCAAGTTTCCATTGATCGAAAGGTAGTGTTCCTTTGCCCGCTTACAATCTCTAGCAGCAATACCCCAAAGCTATAGACATCCGGCTTTACTGAAAACAGACCTTCTGTTGCATATTCAGGTGCTATATAGCCCCTGGAGTATGAATATAGTGATTAGCTCGATAAAGCTTTTAACATGAGATAAATAAGTTATACCGTATTACAGTGAGTGAGTCATTCTTACAATGTTCCAACAATTTGAGTTGTATTTTGTTCGATTTTGTTACCCCCAAATATTCTTGCCATACCGAAGTCCAAAATCTTGGGAATCATATCATCATCCAGCAAAATGTTGCTTGCTTTTAGGTCTCGGTGAATTATCCCAAGTCTAGAATCTCGCAGGAGATAAAGGAGCCCTCCTGCAATCCCTTCAATAATCGTGAAGCGTTTTCTCCAATCTAGCAGTGCTTGCTTGGCTGGGTCTGCCATTTTGAAACAAAGTTAAACGCGGACACATCTCAATCAAATCCGGCCGGTGTGGAACAAGATATTGACTTCATTTCTAAGTAGATATTTTTTTAAGGGATGTTAAGGAATTGTTACAGGAACATGTTAAGGCAATCTGCGACATTAGTTCTGTGATTTTCGCATACGGTTCCGACTGGAAAGTGAAGAAAGATCGAGAATGATAGTCGTCAAAATCCAAAATATCAATGTCTACTAGAACTCCGGTGTCTGAGTATTTACTTTTCCGCTCACAATCGTTTAACGAAAATTACAGGCTATACAAATATTGCTAATAACCCTCATAGGAGATGGAACAGCATAGAAACATGGAGCAAGATTACCGATCATCTCCCTTCCACCATTGTAATCGTTACATCATTCGAGGGTGCTATATCCTGGCCTTCTGTACTAAATTTTGTATCCACAACCACATGTCTCTTAATTGAGGTAAATATAGGTTCTACTGGCAACTGAAGATTTGCAGCTTCACTTTCCAGCATTAACACCACGGCCGACATGGTTGGTCTACTAGCTGCATGGTCTTGCACACACAGTAACCCTACATGTATACATCTCAATACTTCAGTTTCGTTCTGGGAACATGTTTCTGCGATGGAAGGATCAATGAGGTCCGTTGCTCGATTCTCGTTCCAAAGATGCCATGCCTAAAAACATTCCAAAAAATCCATATTCCATTGTTGTAGTTACTGATTGGTGAAGTAATAGCGAGCACTTATAATTTAAAACATCATGTATGAATAACTTACATATCCAATAAGGCTTAAGTGTTCCGTTGATCGCAAGCTAGTGTTCCTTCGGCCACTCACAATCTCTAGCAGCAATACACCAAAGCTATAAACATCTGACTTTACCGAAAACAGACCTTCCATTGCATATTCAGGTGACATATAACCGCTGCATCATGAATATTATGATCAGATTGATAATTCTAACACGAGATAAATAAGTTGTATTGCATAATTAGTGTCAACAAGTTCTTCTTACTAGGTGCCAACAACTCGGGCTGTATTTTCTTCTTTTTCATTACCCCCGAATATTCTTGCCATGCCAAAGTCTGAAATTTTGGGGATCATATCTTCATCCAGCAAAATGTTGCTAGCTTTTAGGTCTCGATGAATAATTCTAAGTCTTGAATCTCGATGGAGATAAAGGAGCCCTCGTGCAATCCCTTCAATAATCGTAAAGCGTTTTCTCCAATCTAGTAGTGATCGGTTGGCTGGATCTGCCATTTTACCAAAAAGGCAACTACTAAGTGAAACAAACTTCAAATATGTAATTATCAGAAAAAAGAACACTTAAATCGGCTGAAAGAGAACTGACGGAAAAGAAAGAAATCCAAGCTTTTGTTTGGCATGTATTCATAAACCAGTATCTTTTCTTCTCCTTCAATGCAGCAGCCCAATAGCCTCACGAGATTCCTGTGTTGTAACTTAGCAATCAGACTAATCTCGTTCTTGAACTCCTCCAACCCTTGAGTAGACCTTCTCGAAAGTCTTTTTACGGCTATTTGTGGTAGCCCTGGAAGGCTACCCTTGTAGACAGTACCAAATCCCCCCTTCCCAAGCTTGTTTTCTTCAGAAAAGTTGTTCGTAGCAGCTGCTACACAACTGAAATTGAACAGCGGTAATTCGGATCCATTTGCTTGATTCCCTTGTGCAAAAACGTTAACTGATCCTGAAGTATCTGTTGAGAATTCTTCACTCTTTCCAGCATCGAGCATTGGTGTATCACTGCCCCTTAACCATGAAATTGAAGAACTTATGGGCAGCACTAGATAACAAAAAGGAAGAAAAATAAGTCAGAAACAAAATGGAAAGGAGAATATATCATGGAACAATTACCAGTTTCCTTAACTAAAAAAATTTCCCCTCATTCACTAGAAGGATGGAAAATGTGCATCCTACCTTTCAGTTTTGCTTTGAACCACCACAAAAGCAATAGGATGATGACTACGAATAGTGCTCCCGCTACTGAAATTACTGCTATCACAACGGTGGATAATTTTTTCTTGTTACCTATATATAAAAGGAGATCCAATAAAAGATATTAGTGCAGTCTTCTGTGTTGCAACATTTCATTGAGTTAATACTTAATAGAGCAGTTTCTTGGCCCTTTTCCGCGCTATGCTCTGTATTGTCAATAATTTGAATATACAGCACATAAACGATGTCTGGCCTTTGATATTATTAAAGGACAGGGGTTCAAAAGACAATAACTTATTTTTCGTTGTCAGATGGACGACAAAAAAACAGATCAAGCGCTGCTAAAGCTGGCCAGATAAAAATACAATTCAAACAGAATGGCAAGGAAGTAAAGGAGTTTTAGATTATCTTTTCCGGACTTGATGCCGTGGTCTTGCCTCGAGGCGAATTTAGAATTCAATGATCGACAAAAGACAGAAGGTTTGCATTTCCTGTGAAAATGCATCTGTTTAAATTTTCCTCACAGCAATTAAGTTGAACAAAATTTATGGAAAATTAAGTGACTCCGATTCACCCTTTGGTTTTTCTTGTATAGAAAGTAAAGGCCAAAACCAGACAAAGAAACACAAATGGATTTTAGGAAAAGAAATGAAAGCAATAACACCAACAAGAAGAAAGACAATTGGATTTGAACTTTACCTAAATCCGAATGCGCAACACGAATTTGCAACGTGTTTCCTCCCAATGTAAATTGTTCGACGTCAATCAAGTCCCCGGTCCACATCATACAACCAATCCCTTCAACAAATGCATAAGCAGTACAAGAACAATTCACAAGACATTTCTCCTCACAACCCTCCCCTGGACCTGCGTTAACTAAGTCTGCGAAATCTGGCAACTTGGCACCTCTTATCCCTACAAATCCATCTTTTTCATCACTTGCCGCCGTTCCATTAGTACTATTTCTCTGACACTGCAATAAGGTTTTCCTCAAACACCCCTCCGACCAATTTCCCTTCATCCATTGATCCGAGTCCCTAGGTTGAAATCCATGCATACAACTGCAAATCGAACCCGAATCATCGGATGCACTACACACCCCAAACTTTCCACATTTGTTGTAAAACTCACACTGGTTGGTCTTGTTAGGCTGAGATTCTATCACTTCCCACTGGTTCTTCTCTTCCACCCATCTCAGCAGCTCCTCGTACCCGTCCCAACTTATCCGAAACCTCAACTTCTCCGAAGTACTTGATAGTTTGTAAGTAAAATATGAGCTCCCATTCGCATTCTCATCACTAAGCCTAAAACCAGATTCATAATTCGTTGGCATAGTCGGCATTCCGATGAATATCTGCTTGTTCCAATGCCCGCTTCGCCACCGCCGTTCTGATCCTTCCCATATCACAAACTGCGGCGATCCTCGAGGATCAACGCCCATTGAGTAACCTCCGGCCGAAGGGTCACTTTCCGACTTCCACGAACTCAAAAACCGATTCTCTCCGATGGCATCATTCACCTCAACTTTCATCCCCGGCAAAAAAGTGTCCGCTGGATGATCAAAGCTCTGCCAGTAGACCTCGCCGGCATCGCCGCTGCCGGAAAGAACAAGACTTCCTTCGTCACTGAGTGTGGCGGTCGTGTTAGTGGCAGTCGTGTTAGTGGCGGTTGAAGCGTTAGTAGACCAAACTGCGGTGCCATTTCCATCCAAAACAACCAGATTTCCATCGCTTCCAATTTTCAAAACTCCAGATTCACCAGAAATTGGGTTTTCTCTGTTTGCAACCCAGATCACTGGCGGGTCTGAAATGTTGTAATACCGAATTCCGACGTACCGGAACGATGAATTCCCCGGACGGAAGAAACCCAGTTCGAAAATTTGCCCATCTGAGATCAGCGTTTCTCCATCTTGTATAGACTGGCCCTGCGAAATCGAACTCGACGCAGAGCAAAACAGAGGAAGATAGCAGCAGAAAACGAATGAGAAAATACAAATTCTGGAACCTGGGTTTTTGCTACCGATTCCCATTTGATGAACTCAGAGAATTGCAGGTAATCATTAGCAGCGAACAAAAAATCTAGAAGTAGAATGGAAGAAGCTGGGATGCGTGTGTAAAGGCGGTAAAGTCAGCAAATGGCGGCGTTCTGCTGCTGATGTCTGATTCGGACACGCTTTTCTGACAGTTAGCGAAATTATGGGACCCAACTTGAATTTGAAAATTATATATATTTTGTCGTTGAGCCTTAGGCATCTGGATGTATACAGGAAGATTGCAATTGTTTGGTCGGGGCAGATCACTTTAAGACTTACCGATTGATCGAGGAAATATTTGTTAGTTGAGGTCGGTGTGGACACAATTCAATTTCACATTGGATTCACACGCTTTAAGAGAGAGATTTTTCAATATGTTAATGGTATTAGGGTTAAGAACTTAATGGTGCCAAGCCAACTACCAAGTTCACATTGGATTGACAGGTGAAGTATTGGTGCCAAGCCAACCACCAATTTCTTTCGAGAAATGTTAAAAAGAATTTTCTCAAAAATGAGACTCATCATAAACTCTTTATCATTTTTATCATTTTATGTATTTAATATAATATTTTATAATGTTCATACGAAAATTAATGTTAAACTGTGAGGTGACAGAATTTTACTTTTGAAAAAGTCCTCGTAACATTTCTCATTTCTTAATATTAGTGTAGATCTTATGTAGATATGGATTAAGATCCTATGAATCTAGATGATTCTCTTTGTAATCCTAGTGAGATAAAACACGTGCACAGTTACACTAGAGAGTCTTATCTTCATCCATGTTAGTCATGGTGAAAGTGTTACGTATGCCTCTGTGTTATTCATGGTTAGTCTATTAAATTTGACTTCTCAAGTTTGTGACGACGAAATGAAGTTGTCCTAAGTAAATTTTAGAGCTTGACTTCCTTTTATATGAGTTACTTATCTTAGAAAGGTGATGATCGAGTTGTTTGTAAGAAAGGATTCAGAATCTTGGAGTGTGAGCTTAGCCATGGAAAACTCTCTTAAATTCAAAGGCTAAAGGCATTGATGCATCGAAGATGTCCTTATCCTGGAATGGACTGGCGAGGCTTCAAAAGCCCAGCTAGAAGTGAAAATAAGAAAAGTGATCTATTTTATAGCATTAAAAGCAACCATAATCACAATGTGAGGAAATTGGGGAGGAGTGGCTTGGTCATCTTCAAAGTTGATATATACTTAAAAACACGTAAAAAATAATTTATTTTTTAAAAAGATTAAAAATGCAGTTGATTAGGTCACTAACTATCTCTTACAATGAGTAATGTTTAAGATGTTGAAAGATTAGAGACTTTATGATAAACACCTTAAATATGGGAGAGTTTACCTAGTGTTAACAAATTACATGATAATTAAGTCCTAATATATGATTGAAGGACTTAACATTGAAAAACAATTGCTCTCAAACAAAAATAATTTCCATGCATGAATGAGTTTTGTGGTGGCCATATGGTATGATTTGTCAACCTAGTGAATACATTTTTAAAGGTTTGACTAGTGGAAACCTAACCTAATTGATTAGAGATCCCAAAATCTAGGTTCAAAAGGGACAATAAAATTATGACAACTTTGGGTTTCACTATGCTCTCCTATACCCATGTGTCCCGTGATAATAACAGTGTTGTCTGCCATTGAGATTAGGTTTAGATTTTCTTTTAATGGTTCCTATAGCTTGGAATACTTAGAAGTCCAAGTGGGGTATTGTATGACACGCTCCACCCTGATATTCTCCAAACAACAGGGTAGGCTTTAAAGTGTTTAGGCTCGAATGCAACGGCCCCAATACCCAATTCTATACGGCCCCAAGGGCCAGGTTCCAAAAGGGTTTGGTAGGTTAAGGGTTGAAACATGGGTTGGGCTTGAAGGCCCGACCTAAAGCTCTGGGCTTAGAGGGCTTGGGCTCCGGGTATGGGTCGAAGACCCGTTTCTTGTCCGGAATGAAGGTCGGAGCCTCTCGAGTTTCGGCCAACGGCAATCGGCCAAACTAACCTACGATCTAATACCCAAAACAAAGGTAGAGATGAGAGTGAGTGTTTGTTATCTGAGATTCACCGTGAAATGGCCGAAGGTGGCCAGACTTGAGCTCGCCAGACCTGGGTTGGGTGCCCCGGAGCTTCACGGAGGTGGTGGAAAGAGAGAGGGGAGGTCCTGGGTTTGAGGGTTGGTGTCTATGGGGTGTGGGTTTGAAGGTTGGTGTGCGTGTGTATCGATCAGGGGGAGTGAGAAAGTTCGTCTGAGAGAAGGAAAGAGTGTGTGAGAGGGAGAATGAAGGAGTGAACTCGGGGAAAGAAGATAAGAGAGAAGAGAGGGCTCAGGGAGACTGCCACGTGGCAAGCGGGGAGAATGGAATCGGGGATACAAAAACAGAAGGTGGGCCCCCTTGACACACCAATTAAGGTTTAAAAGCAAACTCATTTCAAAACAAATATCCCAAACTTAGTGAAATGGAAAGCCACCTATGACCTATCTTGATTGTGGAATGGGGTGGTTCTTAAGAGAATTTTTCTAAAGGGCCTAATTAATTCTCTAGAGCACTAATGAGAAACCAAGAATTGTCAAAGTTGGAATGAATACAAACGAGCAACCACAAGGTGTTTGAAAATGTATTGTGTGATTACTATTGTCTTGGTTTACACAAATAGTTGAGCAGTTTAAGACATCATGTTCATTGAAATAGCCAAGTAAATTTAATAGTAATTTACTAAATAAGGTTCAAAGCCAAAAGCTACATATCCTAATGCTTTACTTTTCCTATTGAATCTTTATCTAGTGTATACATTGTCATTTGCATTGTGCTTAGTCAATTTCCATTCACGTGGGGATTGTTGAAAATTTAGTTATTATTATATATTAAATTTATCAATTGTACGAAAATTAGAAATGGTGCCTTTTGGTAGAAATATGTGTCTCTCTAAACATGAAATTTAAATTAAGTTTTGCAGTTTTTTACTATTTATGAATAGTCACATGCTTTGAAAAGAGGCATCTTTACTTCTATAAACAGGCAAGTCTTCTTGTAGTCATTTATAACTTCCCATCAGTCATGTAGTCATACATTTAGTGCACTAGAGAGTGTCTCATTGAGTCTATACAAAAGAGTATTCAACACAATGTAGTTCATTGGAACAGATCTATTATTATAAGGACATGGTCATTGTGTTTTGAGAGATGAGAGCTGATCAATCATAAGTACCGTTGTGAGACGTAAACTTGTCTTAAAAACAAAATATCTAACATATGCCTCAACCGATTTTTTAGATTTTTTAAATCCATTTTCATGGTATTTTGTTTTCCCTTACAAGCATGCATCAAATTTAGTATTTAATTACATGAATTTTTTCTTATTTTTCTGTGCGATTAAAATATAGCAATTAAACTATATTTTTCCAATTACATAGACCATACACAATAGGTTGCTTTTGGTCATAATCAACACCGGCAAACATAAGCCAGTAACTTTGTAATCACGTTACTATCCCAATTGCTACCCTAGAAAATCCACTGCATTCACATTTGACCAAACATATAATTTCTGGCAGTTTCTAGATCAACTGCAAGCATTGATATACTTTTCAACTATTCATAAAATGAAATCCCACACACTTTAATGACTGGCCTATCTTTCATAATTGTCTTAAACAAGGGTGGCATTTTGAACACAATCAGTTAATCCGATCCAACTCATCCGCTAAAATTAATATTTGGGTGGTTATTTAACTTGTCGGTTTATTAACAATTGGACTCGTTAATCACCTGTTACATTACGATCCCTTCACCTTACAGATCCTTGAGGCACAAGAGACTAAAACATGCTATGCAGTGAGCAACTCTGTTAGCTTGGCGTTTGAAATGAATCCACAAGACTTCAGTGATCTCATTGGAAAAAGACTTGGCACATGGCACCGCCACCAGCCTTTGGACTAAAATTTGTGTCCAACGAACAACTCCATACATGTCCAATTTGAAAAAGAACAACTCGCTCAGATGAAGCCGACTGAGTTAATAGCCACAAATGGTCAAGGCCCAATCCAACTATGAATTCAAATTAAGTACCAAAATTTGAAGCTCCTGCTCCACATATCAACGGTCGAAGCACTTTTTCGAAACGTTAACATTTTAAAAATAAATAAATAATTTGGTTTTGGTTACATTTTAAAAACAAGAATTATATCACCACTTATAAATACAGTCTAATAGTATTTCTCTTCACTTGTAAGTGAGAGGTCTTAGGCTTGATTTTCGCCAAAGACAAGTTTGAACCACATTATTACTAGTTCATTGTAAAGCAAAGTTCATCTTCTTTCCGTTAATGTAGATAATATCGTTTGTTTGAAGAAAAAAAAAAGAATTATATCAATCAAATGGGCTAATTGATTTGATTAGCCTTCCTAACTCAACAAAAAATATATTGGCATTTTCGTAATTAAATTGTCCTCCAATTTGAGACAAAAGTTGAGTTCAGCTTTTCATTCCAACCGTAGTACCGAGCCTTCCATGCAACTTCGAGGAAGGGCTAATGAACCTTCTTATATGTCAAAATCAAACACTAAAGGCTCTGATCAAATTATGGCATTAGTTCCATTCATCAAAAGCGACCCTTTTGGAATTTTCCATACGTATGTTCTATAAATAATAAGTTACTAACCTAGCCATCTAATAATTTCGATAATTACCAACAATGGCGTCACGAAGTAGCAATGGAGTTGTGTTTGAAGATTTCTTCCCGACCATGGTGCAGAGATTGGGAGCAGAAGGGTTCATGAAGGAGCTGTGCAACGGGTTCCGGTTGCTAATGGATGAAAAGAAAGGCGTGATCACTTTCGAGAGCTTGAAGAGGAACTCGGCATTGCTAGGGTTGCATGGGATGAGTGATGAGGAGTTAAGGTGCATGCTGAGAGAAGGTGACTTGGATGGAGATGGGTGTTTGAGTGAGATGGAGTTTTCTACTCTCATGGTTAGGTTAAGTCCTGATTTGATGCAGACTTCTAGAGAACTAATGGAGGAAACTCTGTTGTAATAGTAATCTCAATTTGCCTGCAGTTTCAGTCACATTTAGTTTCTCTGTTTCTATTCCATGGCAGCTGGTTGGACTAGCTAGCTATTCTGTACTCTCTCTCTCTCTCTGTAATTTTGTGATTGTCAACAAAATTGCTTTTCTTCACTGCGTTCCGTGAAAGCTTATTCAATTGTTTATCTCTAGATCTTGGTACGTTAAATTAACAATGCATCTATGCAAATGAACATCATTAAGCAAGAAGAAATTTGTACTTATATATCAATCTTTTTTTTTTTTGGTACAAGAAATAGGTTATAGAAAATAAAAATAACTTTTACCTTTTGACCAACCAAAACAAGTCACAAATTGCAAATTAGCATCGAACTTAGTATTTACATATGAGTCAAACTTGCTATGATCAGTCTATGACCTCATCCAACCAAATGGAAATCGAGTTCCTATAAGAGCAACTCCAGCGTGGGAGCCCTTCCCCTAGGCTATTCACTATTCAATCCATTATATGAACAGTAACTGTCTTTTGCATCTTCATTGTTGCACTTGAATGGCCTTGGCAATAGGCAATAAAATATAATTTTTTTTAAATAATACATAATATTTTTTTTTGTAATTTCAGATAAGATTTTTAATCGTTCTCGTTGTGCCATGTGTCATTATCCGAAAAGACAATTATTGGTGATGGATTTCGATAAGATTTTTATCCAATGTCGTCGTGCCACATGTCCTTACTTTTTCAGAATCTTTGAAGATATGTTTCGATCAGATTTTTAATCGTTCTCGTTGCGCCACATGTCATTACCCGAAAAGACAATTATTGGTGATGGATTTTGATAAGATTTTTACCCGAAAAGACAATTACTGGTGATGGATTTCGATAATGAGAAGGTATTTATAGAAAAGTAAAAACAATTTAAAAAAAAATTCAGATTTTTTACATTTTGTTTTTAATTTTTATTGAACTAATTAATCTCTGCCGTTAGATATAAAAAAAATTGAATTCCAACACTCCATATTGTGCCACGTGTCATAACGGTAACTTTTCTTAATTTTAAAACTATTCTTTCTTTTTTATTTATTTATTTATAAAGCAGAATAATATTAACCTTTGATCTCAGATCTAACGGTTGATATTAAATAAGATTTTTTTTATTTTTATTATCGTTGCAAATTGGACGGTCTAATTTAAAGAGTCATTGAGATCAAACGAACCATGAGAAGCCATGTGGCTTCCCAACGATAACCTTGGAAGACTGCGACATGAGTCCCATACTTTGAAAAGCTGTCGGCTGATGTGCCCCCACGCGTGGGTGAGTCGCACGCACTTGACAAAAAAAAATATAAAATTGGGCTGACACCAGGATGACGTCAGCCCTAGCTTCACATCCACTCTGACTCTCGAGCTGGCAATTCCTTACAAGCCCGGAGCTTGGGCCTCCACTCTCCCTCGGGCTGCCCACGTTGGAGCTTCAAGGCCGGACTATCTAGCCCTATTTCGTCCCCCATCCCCCGAGCACCAACCCATACTGGAGTTGCACTAAATCAACTAGTCATGTGCTATATGCCAATCAATTAATTATGTGCCATATATGTGTGTACAGAAAAAGAAAAAAAACTGAGTGAATATTAACACATGACGAGACATTTGTGGTATGGACAAATATTTGCACTTTTTTTTTCTTTTTGCACACACATCAATGATTATTTGTGAGATCCCACATCGACCAACGGAGAGGGGGTAATGTGTTTTATATGTACATGCTCCCCTTTCTAAGCACGAGGCCTTTTGGGAACTCACTGCTTCAGTTTCCATTGAAACTTCGAAGTTAAGCAAGGTTGGGCGAGAACATTCCTAGAATGGGTGATCTATTGAGAAGTTCTCGTGTGAGTTTCTAGAAACAAAACCGTGAGGGTGTTGCTGGGGCCCAAAGCGAACAATATCGTGCTACGACGAAGCCGGTCTGGGATGAAACATTATTTATTTGTTGAAGTCACTCTTATATATCTTCATAAGGTGATGAAGGGAGAGTTTTTTGTTTTTTGTCTTTTTTTTTAGTACATCAATACTGTTACACTAAGAGGAGGGAAAGTTCGGCTAAGCCACACAATGGGCAGCTTAATTTGGTATTGAATTCGCCTTTTACGATATTTGAACCTAAAACCTCTCACTTCCAAATGAAAAAGAATATTATCAGATCGTGGCACTGAGTCACGATAAGGGGAGAGTTGAGAAACGTCAATTAGCTAGTAGAACTGGATATTTACATATTCCCAAACTATAAATGAGTTGTAACTTCGTTTCTTTCTTTTTATTTTATAGTATGGACATTTTGGTAAATTGCTGTCGACCAAATATGTCGTTTAGGTACTTTTAAAGGAAAATGCTTTACCAGTTTCCCATGACCATACCAAATTGTTGCTACTGTCTCATGCAACTTCGAGGAAAAAGTAGATATAGAAGAAGCCATGAAAGCTAGAATATATACATGCAACGACTTTAGTAGACAAGAGAGATTTTTCAGTGTGATCGTCACACGAGATGGTACATTATATGTCTCCATATAAATTGTGAGATATATGTGTTAAAAGGTTAATCACTTAAAAATTAAATTTTTTTACCATTTACATAAAAACACGTAATGTACCATCCGTATTTCCACCCGAACTAAAAATATCTCCGTAGACAATCCTGATCATTACGTACAATTGTCATTAAAGCAGCCGACTCTTTCCTCCCAAGACCTTTCTTCTTCAATCCTTCACCCCCGCATGTATATAACACCCTCTCCCTAGGTCATCTTTCCATAAACACATTACAATCGATCGAAGAATACCATATATATATATATATGTATGTATTACATTTGTAGCAATTAATTTATAAATTAACCAATTAATGGCTTTAGGTGGCGCGGTTGCGTTTCAGGATTTCTTTCCATGGTAGAGAGATTGGGAGCAGAAGGGTTCACGAAGGAGCTGTCCAACGGGTTTCGGTTGTTAAAGGATGGAGAGAAAGGCGTGATCACATTCGAGAACTTGAAGAGAAACTCTGCATTGTTGGAGTTGCATGGGATGACGAGGAGTTAAGGTGCATGCTGAGAGAAGGTGATTTGGATGGTGATGGGAGTTTGAATGAGATGGGGTTTTGTACCCTCATGTTTAGGTTGAGTCCTGCTTTGATGGAAACTTCTAAAGACTTCTTGGAGGAAGCTCTTGCCTGTGACTTCTAGTTAGGATCTCTTAGTTTGTTATGTTGTATTAGGGCGTGTATACTATATTTTCATGGCTATTATCTGTCATTTTCTGTAGTTTTTGAGCTTATTATTAAAATTATTCTTCTTTTACTACATATTTTAAAATTTCATATAATAATACATGGATTGATTATATCACGTGACGGTGATTTAGTACGTCAAATTATTTATATACTCATGTAAAATTTATTGAGTATCAATAAATGACAGCTCATCATTGGTTTGTTGTTAGGTTGTTAAAAAAAATTAGTTAGTCTGTTAGAAGTGTAAGAATAAAGTTTTAAGCTAGATATATATGTGTATAAAAGCTCTGTAATTGTGAGGATTCAATTCATTAGGCCTAAAATACAATTCATACATTTTACTCTTTCTCTCTTTCTTTCTCTCAACTGTTTCTCTCTCAAGTTCTTCATTTTCCTGCATTCCTTATTGCTTCTTGATTCGTTTCATTGGTTAGTTGTTAGGTTGTTAAAAAGATTAGTTAGTTTGTTAGAAGTGTAAGAATACAGTTTTAAGCTAGATATATGTGTGTATACAAGCTCTGTAATTGTGAGAATCCAATTCATCAAGTCTAAAATACAATTCATACATTTGACAATTTTTCTCTCTTTCAAATTCTTCATTTTCCTGCATTCCTTATTGCTCTTTGATTCTTTCTCAATGTAGTTAATAAAATTTAATGGACTCATAGCTGTAAGGATGTACTCAATTTTGCAAGTGCTGCCTCTTTCTCCCTTGGAACGTACGTAACGTCGCATATCAATTTTCAAAGCAAAATTGATAGGCAATTTTGGGGAGGTACTACGTGGAATTTTGCATACTCATACTTTCTTTTTTCGGCAGGTAGAACTTCAAAGATTTTGACAATCCCAAATTAACTACTGCTCATTAGGCATCGTCTTGTTTACTTTGATTAGGTAAATGCACATACGTGGAATGCTTTGAACTTTCGTGGTTGGTCCTGTAAATTACTTTTCGTATACGTGCATGTTTATATATGGACCCAACCCATAGACTCTTCTACCATTTGAATTTGGTTGTGGGAAAATAATTAAAAAAGGTATTACTTGCAAAGAAACTAAAGAAAAAGAAAAATGAACTTAACTCCACGCAATTGTTACATGATCATACTTTTAGTAAAAGAAAAACTAACGAAAATTATAAGTCCAAAAAAACTTTAGTTTTAATGAAAAATGACAAACAAATGTATAGTGAATAGTACCAGAAAAAGGTAAAAATGTGATTTTTCGTTAAAAGTGAACAATACCGGAAGTGTTTCGTTAAAACTTCATTTAATAAAAAACGCTCTTACCGCACTATGAGTGCTACTACACAATTCAAGAAATTATTTGGCGTCTTTACGAAAAAATAAAAAATAATTAAATTATAATTGGTGTCACTATCAAACTATTGACACATGACGTTACAACTCACTTATGTGACAACATATACATGTATATATTTATCATTGTTATACCGTACGTTTGTACAATATTAGTTTTATTGTCAACTCATATTATAATACTTGACATCGGAAGATTGTAACTCCCAAAAATTTTCCCTACACGACAGTATGTATAATCTATTTTTCATTTTAGTTTTGGCTAGATTTTGTATTTCTCAATTCAAGCCTATTATCGATAATTTATTGTTATTGCAATCTAAAATATGTTTTTATAATATGAGTGAACTTTTGTTAATAGTATACGCTATTCTCTTTGTGCTGTCGAGGTTTTCTATTAGAAAAAAAGGTTGATATTACATGCTAAAAGTGAGAACATCAACTTTATAATCATTTACGCATATTATAACGCATGAAGTAATCATACCATGTTATGTGATTCTAATTACCACCTAAATTAATGATATTATGTGGCAAAATTCTGTCTGCTAGCTGTCAGATGCTGATTTGGAAAGAGCTCATGCATGCCAAGTTTCATCTTTTCAGGAAGATGCTATTTAATTGCTTGCCATGCATGACTATACCTGACCCTCATTACTTCTGGACCTTCCCATGTAATTTCGAGGAAAGAGAAGCCTCTCAGAAATGAAACATCCCACCAACTATAACGCAGAGCAAATTTCGATCATGCCGGCATGTTATCTGTACAATTTAATTTGTTGTCATCCACAGCACTCCCTCTTTCCTCGAAATCTTCCTCATTTTCTCCATTAATTCACTCAATTTCCCTGATAATATATAAACCCTACGCTAGGTTACTTTTCCACAAATAAAATATTTGAAAACCGACGCACAAAAACCCCAACTTTATTTTCTCCGGCAAACTATAGGATAATCTACGCTGAATTAAACCCTAGCTTTTATTCGTTTCATCAAATTTTCACCTTGGAAATTAAATCAATGGCTTTTCGAAATGGGGTTATTGTGTTTGAAGATTTCTTTCCAGCCATGGTTGAGAAACTGGGAGCAGAAGGGTTTATGGAGGAGCTGTCGAAAGGGTTTCGGTTGTTGACGGATGGAGAGAAGGGAGTGATCACATTTGAGAGCTTGAAGAAGAACTCGGGATTGCTTGGATTGCAAGGCATGAGCGATGAGGATATCATGTGCATGCTCAAGGAAGGTGATTTGGACGGTGATGGCGCTTTGGATGAGATGGAGTTTTGCACCCTCATGTTCAGATTGAGCCCTGCCATGATGCAAAGTTCTCAAGAATTATTGGTGGAAGCTTTAGATATTTAATAAATTATAAAATGTAGGATCTCTCTTATGTGGGAATTTCAGTTTCTTTCATTTCTTTGTTCTTCTCGCTCATCCCAGTTTTGTAATTTCAGGTAGCTTATAATAATCAAACAGGTTACTCCTCTCTTTTATTACTGCTGTTTTAGTTTCACTCTTCAAATTAGTTGTGTGCATGATTTGCATCCCTTGACTTCTTTGTTAAATGGTTGTCATCACTTGGTTTCTCAATTAATCAATGTGATTTAAGTCATATTTATAGGGAAGGGAACATGGTGGTTGGTGATTTGGCAAAAATTGAGTTTTCTTTGTACTTGAATTGTATTATGTTGGATACCCTTCTTCTTCAATAGTTGGTTTACTTCTAGATGATATTTTCAAGATTACTAGAACTCCGGCTGTTTGTGTAAGCCCCTCAAGTTGATGTCTTTCTTTATTTACCGGTTCTGCTTGAGCTTTGAGCCCTCTTTGTAACAGCCAAAAAAAGAGAGAATGCTTTAGAATTTAAATGGGGTGTCCTAGGCATATAGTGGACCACAACATGGGACTCTTCCGAAATCGGAAATAGGAGGTTATGGGGCCTAGATGGGATTTAGCCCGGGCCACTAAGTCCAAAATCACAATGTTAATCATTTGTTCCGTCTTATAAGAATTTTTTTTTTTTTTTTTTTTTGAAACTTCTATACATGTAGTTAGCTACCAATTAGTTTAGCTAATAGTTAAGTTCTTTCAAAATCTTAAGACATACATGAAAGAATGAGATCAAACTCAGCTTGCATCCATTTTTGAGTTTGGGAAATGGTGGAAATAATATTAGTTGCAAATCTTTTATTGAAAGAGGAGATCGAACATAAGACTCACAGTCAAGACATTACTCGTAATTACCTGAGTTACAAGTCTCATGCGATTATCCATCCACCAACAAATTCGGCAAGTTGTGTCCTCTACACATGCATATGCAGGAAGCTAGTAGGTTCACCTAGCCATCCCACAGATTTCACAGAACTACTTGGTTCACTGGGATTGAAAGGAAAGGGATCCTCTCCGAATTCCTTTCATCAAATCCTACCAATCAACAAATTCAAACTTTTGAAATTTGATTCAATGATTAAAGTTATTATAACTTTTAAAGAGACTTCATGTTTTTAACTGTTGAATCAAATTTTAAATACCTGAATACGTTGATTAGTAAAATTTGATAGAAAGGATCCAGCGAGGATCCCTTTCTGGATTGAAAAACGAAAATAAGAAAAGCAATGTGTGTGACAGCAACCCTTTGAAATTTATCCACAAAATAATCCAGTTCACTGGAATTTAGACACCTGTTTAGTCTAAATAAATAAAAGTGAGACTTGAGAGGCTCGAGCTTATCTTGCCTGCATCCATTTTGTTGTCTAAATTTAGAGCGCATTGGATTCATGCACGACCAACCACAGATGTCTCCAATTGGACCCGGTGGGTGGACCTCTCTATGGGACCCCCCAATCTACAATGCATGGTTGGTGCCGTTTGATGCTGCAAAAATTTAGGTTTTAGGGTAAAAAGAGTGCTGATTGAGTGCACATAATTCCCTCTCACTCATGATTAAACTCTCATTAGAAGTGTTAGGATTAGTCACGCATCTACATAAGAAAATTTGTACTTCTTGTTTGTGTGTGGGAGCCTATTTAGCATTTCTCAACTAATTAGAGGTCATGAAAATTTTCTTTCATGCTATGTTTGGACGAGTCAATTTAAAGTATTGAAACAAATTTAAAGCTGCTTGCTAAAATGCCTCAAAATGAGAGATTTTTCAGTGTGATAGTAACATGGTTTGGTAAACCAGATATAATAATATAAATGATTGGATACTTGAAAAGAGAAATTCAGTAATTTGTATTATGACATTTGATGTACTAAGCCGAGTTTCCAGCATATTGAAAATTTCCTTCAAAAGAAGGATAAATTTTTAGTTATGACGGGAACACGGGTGGTACACCACGTGTTTTTATGTAAGTAGTGAAATTTTTTATTTTTTAAGTTATTAACTTTTTAACACACATATTCTACATTTTATATAGCGACACGTAATGTATCATTCCCTATGACAGTCACACTAAAAAATCTCTCTCAAAGAAGAGTACCAATAAACTACTCAAGCGTTAATTATAAAATACTACCAAATCACTGCGAACGCACTTTTATATATTATTCTTCAGAACGCAACGTCAATGTTCTTACTTTTTTACCAGTAAAATTTCCCATACTTTTTATCTAGTATTCTTTAGCAGTTTAGCCAATAAACTTGCCTCATAAACTTAAGGAGTGAGGATGATCGGTGCATCCTTCCCAGCTCAGAAGAAAAGAAAATAATTCTTCCCTTTTCTTTTTAATTTGTTTTTTTTATAAAGGAAAAACCAGAGCTGGTTTTTAATACAAATAGCTGCAACTTGCCCTGCATCATATGTTTTCAGCTTCTTTCCTTACATATATATAAACACACACACACACACATATATATATATATATTCATATATTTATATACACACACAGAGCCACCAGGGGCTTAACAACATAGAGAGATATGAAGAAGTGCGATCTGTGTGACTCTGCAGCAAAAGTGTACTGCGATTCCGATCAAGCAAGCCTCTGCTGGGACTGCGACGTCAAGGTTCACGGTGCAAACTTTCTGGTGGCCAAGCATTCAAGAACTCTGCTCTGCCATGTCTGCCAATCTCCGACCCGCTGGATCGGCTCCGGTCTCAAGCTCTGCCCTACTGTTTCTGTTTGCGAGAGTTGTGTCAATAATAATGAAGGAAATCATCACCAAGACGAAGACGAAGACGACGACGATGAAGAAGGACAGGACGGTGCGGAAGAAGATGAAGAAAACCAAGTTGTTCCATGGTCGTGTAAGCCTCCTCCGCCTGTGTCTTCAACTTCTTCGAGCAGTAGGGAAGAACGATTAAGTGAAAGCGTGAACATTTCCAGATCAATAGCCAGAAGGGAACCCAGGTGACCAGATTAATTAACCAACTTCATTTCCATCGGTGCACACTGGGGAATGATTTCAGTTATTTTTACATTCTGTACTTCCATTTCAACTTTCAACGCTCTCTTGAGATTTTAAGTTTATCATTGTGTTTCCTCTTAATTATTCAATTTAATGGCAGAAAAAATTTGGGAAGTGAAAAAATAACTTTCATACATCGTATTAGGGAGAATAACTTCCGTGAGATAACGATTTCATTTGTAAGTATCTTAGGCTAATTACGAAGTGTCACGTTAAAAAGTTAATTCTCATAATAGTATGTGATGAACTTAGAAAAAACTTCACAATAACATCTCTGATGCAAGAAAGTTTTTGTACATACTTGGGGTAATTGTGGGCGTGATTAGCGGTGTATTTGGTTGAACCTTGAATAACTTTACATAATACTTGAAAAATACTACCGTATCACTAAAATATATTCCTGTATAACGTAATGAGTGAGACGCTCAACTCGTAGATATAATATAAAAGGCATGAACCACAAGTATTCTAATTTTTAGAACTGTCATAAATTTCCAGCATCCTGGAACAAGAAAAAGAAAAATATGATTTGACCTTACAAGTGGACCAGTGCTTAACTTTAGCATCCTTAATTCCAGTCAAATTTTACTGATATATTTTTTAATTGGGAAGGTTTGATCTAAGCAGGTTGTTACTAGATTTGAGAGAGGCATACAAAATTGCCTTCCTGTTGAGTAGTTTACTACACATGGAAGATTCTCTTTTGCAATTATTTACGTTTATAGTGACGTTATTTCGACCTATTAATGTTTGTGATGTGTACATAAAGCGATAATATTGACAAATAGAAGCTTCACACGTGATAAATTTTAACAACATAGTATCTGTAAACTTAATCACGGGAAGGCGGTGGGGTCAAATCGTGGAACATGACCACGTGCGTACCATAAATCATGATTTGGCAATATAGTATTTTAATTGCAAGTTGATTAGTGATTATTAAGAAAGCTAATAAACAAAAATTAAGATGTAATGAAAATAAATAAGGGATCAAGAAAGGGGCTGAGAGCGTCCTTGGGGATTTGTTTTGTGGTGAAAATCGAAATTCTTTGCTTCTACTTGCAGAGGGAGACAATGTGGTTGTGTGGTGGATCCATTTCAAAAGTTGAACACATGGAGATGTGTGATATTTAAGGTTTATGTTGGATCGTCTCTTTTAGGATTACGAGTAATTTTTTTGGTGCGACTGTTCTATGTTGGGGATGTCCAACACTCATGTTATAATACTATTTTTATATTCTAAATTATGACACATCAAGTAGGTTGTATACTTAAATTACGGGATGTCCGCTCTGAACTTCTATGTTCGGAATCCGTAGAACGAGAGATCCTTAACTTTCAAGAGAAAGAGATAAAGATTTGGACCGTTCAAGTTCTTGAGTTTTTGTGAAGTTGGCCAATGGGATGAGGGTCGTAGAATTGAAATTGAGTGATCCGCATCTCACTCTACGAGCTCCAAACACAGAAATTCGAAATGAATCTCAATCCCTTAAATTATAAGATTTCAATTAATAAACACCACATGTCTCTCGTCTTTTGCTTCCATCACCAAAGTATGAGCTTAAATTCGCATTTTACCATATGAAGCCCGCAAAAGGCCCACCAATTAGATATGGGTGGCCAGCTTTTAGTTTTTTATTTTATTTTATTTTTAATCAAAACTCATGCAACAAGATGAAAGTGCAGGCTTTGTACATGCAGAATACTGAAAGGAAGAAGAAAGGACACTCATCCATTATTCATCACCCCGGAGCTTCATAAACCATGCGAAAGCAGTAAAAAGGTGGTTAAAACAACGATCAGTAGATTCAGTACCCGCCATACCGGAATAAAAGAAAGCAAAAACAGAGACTCAGTAGTACCGCCACACTTTTTCCATACAATGTGATTACATATGAACCAGGAGTATTTGATCAACATCATCTGAAAGCTCATCCAGCATCTCCATCTGTTGTTCAGCGCGCCTTATCGGCATCTGCAAGGCATAAATTCGATGTCAATTTCCAACTGAATCATTGACAGAGAGGTAAACCATATAAAACTTACGAAAAAAGCTCTGAGAAGATGAACTTATATACATAGTTCAAAACCATTGGCTCAAGAATAATTGCCAACAAATAAAGGATGGATGTCCAGATTATCATTGAAATCCAGAGTTGACTTAATCCTTCTGCACAAGACTTATGTTTGGTACTGAGCATGAAGAAACATTTGACCAGATGATTCAATACCACATGGACATTAGTATTCTGAAGAAACAACCTACTACGTGGAACTCATCGAGCCGAGTGACACAAGTGTGGACTGCACGTTCGATCATGATGCCTAAAGGCCCTACAGTGCAAACGACCTAGCCATCTTGGGGAGGAACCTTACAAGTGTCAGCACTTACAAAACACTTATCATTGACTATTCATAACTAATTCTAGGGTTAACAGGACTCAAATCAAAGTATCATGCAAATAGGATTGTCACAATGCAAAGCATATGGCATGCCGGGTAAGACTCAATCACTATCAAACACCAACCTAAACCATCATGAACCCCTTTTTGTTCAGCGTTCTTAAATCCTCAGTTTCCACTAGAAGAAACTTCTAGTGAAGCAGGTTTCAGATAATCCAATGTATATCACCCACATAGCAGCACAAACAATTGAAGGAATGGTAGTAAGGATCCACAATGAAAACACTATCAAGGATATAACACATACAAGCCTACACGTAACATGACAGCACAACTAGTAGTTACAATCTGCCATTTTTATTTGCGTGAATGTTTTTAAAGAATGGTAGTAGGGAATTAGGGATCCATATAGAAAACATGAAGCACTAGCAAGAACGCTCGTACAAAAACCACTGGTTCCTCCTATTAATGCATGTGTTTGTTTTCGAGTATTGATTATTAGGAATGTTGGCTGTAAAACATTAGTTTGTTTCAAAAGTATAAACGCCGTGAAAAATACTGTTCGTGCAACCGACATATACTAATATTTAAGATACCAACAAAAAGGGAAAACACTCGCTTATTTGATGCCATGAAACATCAATTATGACCTTATCCTAGAGACTCCTATTCCTTCTACCATTATAACTCTTTCCAATAAAGAGACTTCTATTACTATTCCTTACAAGAAACACAATCAAATGAAAACTTGAGAATCCAAATACCTAACTGTTATATTTTACCAGAAGTCAAATGTGTGTACTAATTGAAGCCCTTAAAGGTGAAATTGGTGCTAAAATTACACAATGAATGCTGAAACAGCGTTAAACTCGATGTCTCAAAATCTAAAAGGGAATGTTAATGATGAAGCCATTATTTGCAATTTACATTTAAGAAAAATCAAAGGCGACAAGCAAGTGGATCATGCCCTTGCCTCACATCCACCCACCCAGGTGTTTAGCTACTTCAACTTATCGCTCTCAGAGAATAAACTGCCTCCTACTTACGTGTATTACGTGCTAAACAAATATGTTACTTCAGAGAGAATGATGAAAAAAAGGAAACCATCTAAATAACCCAACGCAAAGTAGAAGGCTTTTTGTGACGGCTCTCGTTCTTGAATGCAATGTTTTTGGCACAAGAGATAAAACAAAGGAAACATACAACTTTGCAAACTTTTGGATTTGCACTGGCTTAAATAGAGCTTAAAGAATTGGACCACTTGAGTAAAACAAAATTCGGAAAGCAAGAACTTGAAGCAGGATTACCTACTAATCAGACATTGATCCCAAGCTAATCCCAAGGACAAACCTTTAATCATCTCCAAACACAGATTCTGAATCAAATGCACAATTGCAGTTCTAATACTAATTATGAGATTTGATGGATTAAAAGCAGGATTAACAACAAATGCATGGTAATAATCGAGAATTAAAGAAGAATGGCAGAGAGAGAGCTCAAAGTTCAAACCTTTATCCAAAGCATCATGAAACTCCGGCTCCTCCTCAGGCACGACGGGGCAGTCAAAATTACCTTGCTTTACGGCGTCGATTTCATCATCCTTGTCATCGGAGAACCTCACGACGATGACAGGGCAAACGCAGTGTTGCACGCAGTAGTCACTGACACTGCCGAGCCTGGCCTTGGAGGTCCGCTTAGAAGCCCCGAATCCCCGGCTGCCCATCACGACGGCGCTGAGGCCGAGCCTCTCGACCTCCAAACACAACCGCTCCTTCATGTCATGGTCCTTGACTATGTGGATCTTGTACGGCATCTTGGCCTCCTCGAGCGGCTTGGCGAGGTCGTTGGCCTTGGTGACGGTGAAATTGTCGAAATCGTCCTCGAGCTTCTGCTGGGACTCCTGGTCCTCGGGGATGGAGACGTCGGTGGCGCCCCAGTCGGCGCCGTAGAGGACGCTGGTGGGACGGACGTGGAGGAGGATGACGGCGTCTCCGGGGCGGAGGTAGTTCTGGACGGCCCATTTAACGGCGAAGGCGCTCTCGTCGCTGAGATCGACGGCGATCCCGATTCGGCGCTGGGCTCCGGAGGTGGGAGTCCCGCTGGGAGGGTAGCGCGGGGACGACGGTTGGACTACGATTGCCGCAGCGGACTGGCGATCTCCGGGTTCCGATAACGGGCTCTTTCTGGGAGAAGCCATGGGGATATAATCGGAATATTTGAGAAGAACGATGGTTAAGGGAATCAAAAAGTTTTTTTTTTTTCGGTAGAGAGTGTGTGGAGGTCGCAAATATTTTAAGTGAATTTTGGGTACACTTTCTGGCAAAATGGTTCGGGGTTCCATAACTTTTATTCTAGCATCTGAGAATAAAAATTAAAAGAAGTTGTCTTTAATTTGCCTCTCGTTTCTTTTTCGTTCAATTTTAAACTATACAACGCTTTATAGTTTCTTCAATTTTATACTACTTACGACGTTGTATCAATTTTGTGTAATCGTCAGAAATTTATTAAGCTAATCGTTAAATTATAACGTGATAGTTATATTTAAGGCCAGTTATCGTTTAATGATTAACTTAACAAATTTTTATAACGGTGGTCCAAAATTAGTATAAATCTTAAACTATTAGAAAGACGTTAAATAAATTTAAAATTACACGAAAACTTGAGAGGAGAAAATGTGATTTTCATGTAAAGTAGCAATTTGAGCTAACGTGCACGACATGTCGTTAAAATGGGGTTGCCAAAGAAATTCCGAAATCCAAATAGGATTTCAAGTTTATGAGACTTTATTTAGGGCTAGGTCTCCATCCCCAAAATTCCCAAATCGAAAATCCGAAAAATTGAAATCCACGATCAGAAGAGTAGATTTTAATCCAATTCGAAAAGATGCCGCAGAGGCACTCGAAGAACAACAACGACCTCGCTTTCTTCACCTACGACGAGAAGAAGAAGCTCGGCTATGGAACCCAGAGGGAGCGGCTCGGCAGGGACTCCATCAAGCCCTTCGACGCCTGCTGCCTCTGCCTCAAGCCCTTCATCGACCCCATGTGCTGCCAGAAAGGCCACGTCTTTTGCAAGGAATGCATTCTCGAGTGCTTGCTTTCTCAGAAGAAGGACATCCACAGGTGTGTATGCCGCTTTTCTTCCTTTCTCGAACTCTCCTTTTTGCATAATTTCGATGGTTATCGTCCAATTTGGTGTCTTTTATTTCTGTGAATTTGGCTGTATTGGGTTTCTTAAGTTTTGTGTTTTAGTGGGAGTCCTGTGATAAAACGAATTTGTATGTGGGAGAGTGAGATTTGGGAGTCAGTAAGAGCTTTTGGGCAGAAGAATTTTAGGTTTCTGTATGATATGAATGTCACCGTGTACTCGAGAGCTTCGAGCTGTGTGGCCCCAGACTGCATTGAATCGCAGATTCGAAAGTGGGATTTTGCTTGGTGGTCATAATTCAATGCCATTTACAATTGTTGTGTCTTTGGTATTGAATCCCTTCATAAACAACTTCATAAACCAGCTAGCTTTATAAGACATAAGTTATATGACCGATTTTGGAGGTTGCCATAGGAGTATCTCATTTGAATTACATTCTGCCCTTTTGTGTGTTATGTCTCTCTACTAGGTATTTTTAGGTGAAGAAGGTTTGTCCAAATATGCCTGAGTCTGTTTTGTTGTCACATCAGCACTTGATGTTCTTGTTACTATTTATTACTACTTCAATGTGGTTTTCTTCTACGGGATCAAAGAGGTTCGGAGAAATACATTCTATGTTAATTGAAATAGTGAAAATGAAGGATCTATAGTTTTAGTTCTTTGAGGGTGCGTTTGGTACGCAAACGGGACGGGACGGGACGGGACGGGACGGGACGGGACGGGACGGGACGGAACGGAGGTTCGTGTTATGTTTGGTACGTGTAGGACGGAACGGTTTGGATTTCGTGTTAAATGACTAACTTAGCCTTGTTTGTACAATTGCTGAGTGCGAGTATGAACTCAAACAATCAGACCCCAGTTTTCGTTTTCCTTCGTTTTCTCGGCAACCAATCCAGTTTCAGATCTCGTCACCAGCAAACCCTCCAATCAATTTCAGATCTCGTCACCAGCAAACAATTACAAGAAGAAAAAAAACAGAAAAATCCCAAAATCAAACACAGAAAAATCCCAAAATCAAACACAGAAAAATCCCAAAATTCATTTCAATCAATTTCTGCAGCTTCGTCATCGTCCTCCCTGCAGCGTCGTCATCGTCTTCCCTGCAGCGTCGTCATCATCCTCCGTGCAGCGTCGTCGTCGTCGTCGGCCTGGCTATGGTGACGGCGCCGGAGAAGAAGAGGGGTTGCTGGTGACGGCTCCATGGTGACGGCGCCGGAGAAGAAGAGGGTTTGCTGGTGACGGTGGTGACGACGCCGGAGAAGAAGAGGGGTTTGCTGGTGACGGTGGTGACGTCGTCGTCGTCGGATGGGTTTGCTGGGATTGGGTTACTGGGTTTGTGGTGGATGAAGAGGGAGGTTACGGGAAAGAAGGGATTGGGTTACTGGGTTTGTGGTAGAACAGAGGGAGGTTACGGGAGAGAAGGGAGGTAGACAATGTAATTAATGAAAAATAAAAGGGGTATTGTTGTCCAAAAAAAAAAAAATTTGTGTCCCACGGGATGGAAAAACCTATTCCAGGGGGGGAGGGGGAACCAAAATCTGACCCTTTTTCGTTCCGTGGGACGCGCGTTCCACACAATTTTAAGGCACCAAACGTGGGACGGCACGGTTCCGTCCCACTCTGTTCCGTCCCATCCCATGTACCAAACACACCTTGAGATCCCCTGTTGACTAACATAATCCTTAAATAGCTCTTCTTTGTATGCTCGGTTAGTAGTATAGTTTTATATTCTCATTACTGAATGACGTTGCTTTTAACTGGGGAATCTGGTTCATAGATTTAGTGGGAATTCCCTGGAGTCTAGTGGTTCTAGGATTCCTTGGGGGACTTCAGTGGACTATCAACCCAGTTATATTTATAAGGAGACAATTATTGGACTGAAACTAATTTTGAGCATGTAAGCTTGGTTATAGCAAGCTCATTATTCTGCTGGTTGTGATCTTTGTAGTTGGCTATTCTTGATTGTATTTTGGTTTCCACGAGGCATCCTTTGGAAGATGTGAGCTTGGCCGAGCTTGATGCCTTTTGGTTGTATTTCCTTGCAGTAACTCTGGAGTAAAATTTCACCAAGGTGTAATCAATAGGGGTGGCAATCGGGTACCCATTTATTTTGTACCACCACTAACAAGGTGGTAATGGTGGTGTTGGTACTGGTGATGGTGAAATACACCTTGTTGGTAATGGTACCCAAATAAATGGGTATGCAATGGGCCTTTCACCACCCCTAAATATCTACAAATTCTATTATTTATGTGGTTTGTGCTTAAGGTGTTTCTTCCACTTGCCAGAAAGCTAGCTGCACATACTGCTCAGCAGAAGCAAGAAAAGAACGAGGAAGATGATCGGTTAATGCAGCAGAAAGCTAGAGAGCTTGAGGCTTTTGATCAGCAAAACCACGGCGCAATTCCACAATACAATGATAGAAACCAGAGCCAAGATAAGACTGGTTTCCACGGGGCAAACAGTGTGAAGGTCACTTCTTATGAAGAGGAGGCTCTTCGGACAATGAAAGCCTTTTGGCTGCCTTCTGCTACACCGGCAGCTCCTGTTAAAGTAGATGCTCCCTCTATGAGCACGGTCTGTCCAGAAGGAAATGAGAAACTAAAGCTGAAGTCCCTATTCTCTGTGTATTACACAGAAGACAGTAACGAGAAGAAGACTTCATCTCTGGATAAGACACTTATCTGTCCGAGCTGTAAGGTTACTTTGACCAACACGCTGTCGCTCGTGGCCCTTAGTTCATGCGGGCATGTCTTTTGTAAGAAATGTGCTGATAAGTTCATGGCCGTAGATAAGGTTTGCCTTGTTTGCAGCAAGGGATGCAAAGAAAGGAACTTGGTGAACTTGGCAAAAGGAGGAACCGGCTTTGCCGGGCACGATGATAATCTTGAAGCAAGAGACTTCAAGCATTTGGGGAGTGGTTCCGGATTAGGGTTGGTGAGACCCGCCGCGAAGACTTAACCTCGAAAGGATTTGGGGAGTGGTTCCGGATTAAGTTCATCCTCAAGAAAAGAAAAGAGAAGTTGCACCAAAGGTTCTTCTCTTTTGTTTTGGCTTTTATGATTTTGTAGGCAGTATGTGTAAGTTGATTTGTTCCTATGCATTGCTTGATCATGTTTTATTCTGCGTGAAGCTATAGTTATTGAACAATTAAACATGGATTACCATAAACTAAATCCTAGATAATTGATAATTGCTAAAACAGTGGGACCTCCTCACAAATGATGCTTTCTTACACCATGCTATCACTGTGACAGTATTTCAAAGGTTATTACGTACTTTTAGTGCAATTATTACAGTAACATTTTCGTTGCAGAGAAGTCCCTGTCGGTTTAATGTATTGCATTGACCAACCCTTGTAATAGGATGCTGACATTTTATTGGTGAGCTTTTTGCATGTGGGGTGTTTTAGGAGAAATTTTCAGTGTGCCGGAAATGTGCCGGAAATGTAATCTGGTATACAAAGTATCATAATTTTTTATATAAATATTTTGGTGTATCGTACTGTATTCTCGGCATATTGAAAAAGGGGTGTGCTATCCACACACCTCTTTTTACTTCTCTCACACCCTTGTTAATTTTTGTCTGTTGATTTTCTTCAATTCATCTAATCCGACGGCCGAAAACCGAAAAGATGTGAAAGAAGTAAAAAATGGTGTGTGGATATCATATCCCATTGAAAAATTCCTCTTGTTTTAGAGGAAAGGAGATAACACTTTATTGAAAACTATGGAATGGATCAAAAGCTCGTGCTTATCTAAAACAAAATCCATACAGCAATGAGCCAGCACTGTCGGTCCCCACGCACGCGATACATATCGGATCATTTAAAATATAGTCCAATCCGTTAGACCTTTAATTAAAGAATCCTTAAATTAATTAACCCCAATTATTAAACAAATATGATTCAGCCAAGTGGGATTATGCATGAAACGTTGCAAATACAGCTCACGCTCAGGTGGCGTTGTCGATAAGAAATTTTTCAATCGGAACATGAGATGATAAACCACTTGTCATTATACAAATAATGAGATATGTGTGTTAAAAAATTAAACTTTTCACCATTTATATAACAACACGTGGTGTACGTGTTTCCGTCACAATGAAAAATTTCTCGTTATCGACGAGCACTTACAGGCACCTAAGGCCTAGCCGTATTGATTCTTTTCTCACCCACCATTATCGCTCCTTCGACTTATTTTTCATTCATCGTTTCAATCTATATTAATTTTCTTTTTTGATAAAGTAAGATTGATTCGTTAATCTTAGAATATTATCCCCACTAATGACTTAACCTAATATCGTGAACCATAATTTAGCTTCATCCTTTGTTTTTTAAATAGGGATGTGCTATCCACACACCTCTTTTTACTTCTCACACACCCTTGTTAATTTTTGTCCTTTGATCTTCTTCAATTCATCCAATCCGATGGCCGAAAATAAAAAAGGTGTAAAAAAAGTAAAAAGGGGTGTGTGGATATCACACCCCTTTTAAATAATGTCGACATAATTAAACGGCAACCCAATTTTATTCGGCCGCTGTCATTTGGCGTCGCGTGATTTTCTCTTTCTGTCAATCAATTAATATGTATTTTAGACCATCATAACAATATTATCATGAAATAACCTCAAAAAAATTGGAATCTCGGATATCAACATTGTCGCTGTATACATGGGCGATAGTTTGAAGTACGGTAGATTTTTCGTGTAATATGAGGTGCGGGGACAAAGTCGGGAGGAAGAAGAAAAGAAATGAGTTGTCTGTCCGAATCAACTATCTCGTAATTAGTCTAATTCATAGTTTTCTGACTGTTACATTTTGATGCTAATCATTTGTCGCAATTGGTTGGAGAGGGAAAGTTTCTAAAGAGATCGGTAAGGATTGAACCGCACCACAGTACATAAACGTTCATTGCTTTTTGCTATTGCACTAAGACGTTATCTGCCGTAGTGGCATCGTATGTTTACGAAAAATTGCGATATTAAATGGATGAGGGTGGATTACCAAACAAAGACCAGTAAACTTGGCAGAAAAATGAAAACAGACAGAAACAAATTAAAGAATAAAGAAGGCCGTTAATTAGGTGGATTAAGCGAGTGGTGGTTCCTAAATCTCCTCCTAATATCTCCGTTTAACATGACAACCGCAAAGGCCGTTCATCAACCAAAAGAGTGCGGGGTCCACAACAAAATTAAAAGAAAAGGGAAAATAATTATTAGCCAAAATTCTAGTAATGCCCTCTTAATTTAGAGATTGTGTCTAAATGCCTTTGAAAACGCTAAAATTTGTTTTTGGCAACCAAAAATTATTTTGTGACAAATATAGGCTTAGCAAAAATTTAGTGGCGTCTTTTGTTTCAAAAAATGGTGACCTTCATAGGTGGATGAGTTTGAATCAGAATGATTGTTTAACACTCTGGTCTCTGATGTAAACGTTTTATTTTGAATTTACTCAAAGTCTATATCTATTTTGATTTGCTTTTTAGACTTTTAATCTGTTTTGTTTTCTTCAAATATTTAAGAGCATGCCACTTTGACTCCAATCTTAACCCTGTCAAAAAATTTCACTAATAACCTTCAAGTCTTATTCAGTTGATAAATAATAAAATATGTGACCGAGTTTGACAATTATGGACAAATTGACATGTTTTAAAAGATTCAGGGCTCACAATCAAATTAAAAGTTTGGGGCTGACTTGTAAGAATGTGAAAAGTGAAAGGGGCCGTTGGTAAATTGATGCCGAATTATTACCTTACCGGCCAACTAAAACCCCACCCGCCTCGCCAACAGACAATCGTCAACATCAATCTCCACCGCCCCCATAAGCTCACATTCACAAATAAATATAATCCCACCAAAAAATGCAAAATTTAAATATTATTTATTTTTCTATTTAAATAAATAATTTCAGTTCATGGCTTCTTCTGAGAATCACCTTCATTGAATACCAAAAAGCGAAAACCCGCATAAAAAGGAGCAGCGAGGAAGAAGGAAACCCTAGGGCTTGAGCTTCTGGTTTTGGGGTTCGGAAAATGGGGGATTTGGAGAAGCAAGAGACGGTGCTGCTGAAGAAGGCGGAGGAAACGGCGGAAGGGGAAGAAAAGGAGAGGCTTTTGGAGGGAAGTGGAATGGCGGTCGTGGATTTCGACCTGCTCTGCTCGACGGTGGCGTTGCAGACCCAGGGCAAGCTGGCGGCCAAGCTCCAGAGCTTCCCCAGAGGAGAGGAAGACGGAGACGCAGGGGACTTGGGTGGCGTCTTCAGGATGTGGGAAGGTGAAGTCCTCGAATGCTTCGATGACCGTCGTGTTGCTCTCGAATCCCTCTGGTCCGTATCCCTCTCTCCCTCTTTTGCTGTTTGGATTCCCGGAAAATTCCTTTTCCCGAGAGAAAGTTTTAATCTTTGTTGTAAAGATGATTTCTTTTGCTTTGGTTTCTATGTACTTTTCGAATCATTTTCGTGTCGTATTTTGTTGCTGAAGATACATATTATCAGCATGTCGTTGAATTATACAGAAGTAGTCAAAGAAATTGATTGGGTCAATGTGTTTTTTATTTTTTTTGTTGAGAATTTGAATTGCTTGTTTAGTTTGACTAATCTTTGACTAATTTTTGCCATGTATTTTGATGTTGCAGTTGCCCATGCTATAGATTTGGGAAGAACATGAGACGAGCTGGTTTCGGTCCTTGTTCGTTACAGGTTTCTGCATCTATCTTTTTAGTGATTGTTTTGGTAGCTGTGGAAGTGGGAATTTGAGGATGCTTTAGATGTAGCTGTTGAACAACCTGTGTGCTTTCAGCTCGTTTGGATTCGAAGATTTGGTTTTCGGGTAAATAAGGCTGGTTTAGATAGATGCTGAATTTCGGTATGTGATTTTGCAGGGAGTTCTTCATTTGATCCTCGTTGTTCTTGTCCTTCTCAACGGCATTGCCTTCATTGTCACCAAGAAGCACTGCTTTCTATATTTGGCGGTTGCTTTCAGCATTTCACTAGGAACGTATTTGGGGTACTTCCGAACACAGATAAAGAAGAAATTTAACATCAGGGTAAGCCTTCTCTCTTTGTTAAACTATCTCTTACTAATTCCAGTTAACAATGTTCAAGTCTTATAACTTAAATGGTTATTCAATGGAGAAAAGCGACGTTAGGTATAGAAAAATACCGAAACTGTGGGTGTGCTAGTTTAGATGGTTTGCTTTTCCCTCCTCGTGGAGAGGGTGCTGTTACTGCTATATGATCGATCATTTCAATTGTAATGAGTTGTCTCATGGATCTATGGTTATTCTAATCCATGCCTTCTAATCGTTTTCGTGGTTATACACAAATTACCCTAACATTGTTGCGGGCAATGCCTGTTATTTTCAGGGTAGTGATAGTTCCTTGGATGATTGCATCTACCATCTCATCTGCCCGTGCTGTGCATTATGTCAGGTGATTATCCTTCGAGAACCTAAACCTATGATATGATTGTCAAAAGTAAATGTAGACAGGAGCTTTTAATTTTGATTGGTTATCTGATTTTTTTTTTTTTTTTTTTTTTTTTTTTTTTTTTTTTTTTTTTTTTTTTTTTTTTTTTTTTTTTTTTTTTTTTGAGCAGCCTCTCCATAAATAGGGGTAAGGGCTAGCGACCTTCACCAGATCCCTGTGCGTAAAGCGGGAGCCTTGTGCACTGGGTACGACTTATCTGATTTTTTTGAAACTTATGGATGGTATTTTTACAATATGAGCAGGAATCCAGAACATTGGAGATGAACAATGTCCAAGATGGCACCTGGCATGGTCGAGGTGATACGATATGCATAGGTAGCCTTGGAGAAGGTGCAAAATCGTTCTTTGAGCTACAACCGCCACCTATTGTCTCGATCAAATCCCCTGATCCCTGCAGCTTATAGAAAAGTAAAGATTCATGTGAATATCCACGAGTTAAATAAGCTGGGCGTTTGCCATTCCAGAGAGTGGCCACAGCTATGATTGGAAGTTGGACTTTCTATTTGATGTCTTCGGCTAGAAGGATTGTTATGCCTTGCCATCGGGAAGGAAAACATTTTACGTTCAAGATTACAGTGGTCACCATCGGGAAGTAGAACTGCTTTAGATTCCTGCTCTACCTTGTAATTGCTGTGTTTTCAGCTGTGGAAGGTGTAAATTATGTGATGAAGATTTCATTGCCCTGGTATAAAATTGTAATTGTACATATGATGTGCTGCTGGGGTTTCTTAGATTGATCCCCATTCTCT